AAATACACTAACATAGATCTCAACAGAAAACTCACACCCTGACCCAACCAACGAGAGTTCTCCCGATCAGGGCATGACAGTCCGCACCAACCTGACTCATTAGGGGAGGGTCCGGGTGGGACGACCTCTCCCTCTCTGCCTCCCTGTTGCACCCCTGGTCTGGTTTGGACCTCGGCACGATGCTTCCCCTCTCCTTCCTCCCACAATGCACCAAGCCCTGTCTGGACCCTGGTGTGGGAGACCCCGACCCTGGAGAGGGGTTGACGTCTGGGCCTGGAGTAGAGCCGCTGACCGGAGCTGAACTGGACCCCGGTGGAGCGGACTGCTCTGGCTCCGGAATGGAGTAGCTGACCGGTGCTGGACCAGGCACCGGTGGAACGGGCACGTGCCGTGCCAGACTGGAAATACGCACCACTGGCTTGGTGCGGGGAGCAGGTACGGGCCGTACTGGACTGGATACAGGCACCACTGGTTTGGTGCGGGGAGCAGGCACGGGCCGTGCCGGACTGGATACAGGCACCACTGGCTTGGTGCGGGGAGCAGGCATGGGCCGTACTGGACTGGAGACATGCACCACTGGCTTGGTGCGAGGAGCAGGTACGGGCCGTGCCGGACTGGATACAGGCACCACTGGTTTGGTGCGGGGAGCAGGCACGGGCCGTGCCGGACTGGATACAGGCACCACTGGTTTGGTGCGAGGAGCAGGCACGGGCCGTCCCGGACTGGATACAGGCACCACTGGTTTGGTGCGGGGAGCAGGCACGGGCCGTGCCGGACTGGATACAGGCACCACTGGTTTGGTGCGGGGAGCAGGCACGGGCCGTGCCGGACTGGATACAGGCACCACTGGTTTGGTGCGGGGAGCAGGCACGGGCCGTGCCGGACTGGATACAGGCACCACTGGCTTGGTGCGAGGAGCAGGTACGGGCCGTCCCGGACTGGATACAGGCATCACTGGCTTGGTGCGAGGAGCAGGTACGGGCCGTACTGGAATGGAGACATGCACCACTGGCTTGGTGCGGGGAGCAGGCATGGGCCGTACTGGACTGGAGACATGCACCACTGGCTTGGTGCGAGGAGCAGGTACGGGCCGTGCCGGACTGGATACAGGCACCACTGGTTTGGTGCGGGGAGCAGGCACGGGCCGTGCCGGATTGGATACAGGCACCACTGGTTTGGTGCGGGGAGCAGGCACGGGCCGTGCCGGACTGGATACAGGCACCACTGGTTTGGTGCGGGGAGCAGGCACGGGCCGTGCCGGACTGGATACAGGCACCACTGGCTTGGTGCGAGGAGCAGGTACGGGCCGTCCCGGACTGGATACAGGCATCACTGGCTTGGTGCGAGGAGCAGGTACGGGCCGTACTGGAATGGAGACATGCACCACTGGCTTGGTGCGAGGAGCAGGCACGGGCCGTACTGGACTGGAGACATGCACCACTGGTTTGGTGCGAGGAGCAGGCACGGGCCGTACTGGACTGGAGACATGCACCACTGGTTTGGTGCGAGGAGCAGGTACGGGCCGTGCCGGACTGGATACAGGCACCACTGGTTTGGTGCGGGGAGCAGGCACGGGCCGTGCCGGACTGGATACAGGCACCACTGGTTTGGTGCGGGGAGCAGGCACGGGCCGTGCCGGACTGGATACAGGCACCACTGGTTTGGTGCGGGGAGCAGGCACGGGCCGTGCCGGACTGGATACAGGCACCACTGGTTTGGTGCGAGGAGCTGGCACAACCCATCCTGGCTGGATGCCCACTTTCGCACGACACGTGCAGGGCGCTGGCACAGGACGCACTGGGCTGTGAATGCGCACTGGCGACACAGTGCGTATCTCCGCATACCTAAGCTCCTCAATGAACACACTCCTTCTGTTGCCTGACCAGCTCCTCTCTCAGTGCCTCCACTACTTCCTTCTCCCTTTGAGCCTCCTGTAGCACCTCCCTCTGCACGGATAACTCCTGCTCCCTCTGAGCTAACAGCCCCCATAACGTGGTGGCCTCCTCTCTCAGACTGCTCCAGTCCTTCTCTCGCCAATCCTCCTCCAGTGAGGACTCCTCCGGGAGCCCCCACGAGTTAGGGAACAGAAACTCATCGTCGTCGTCATCCTCTGACTCCTCCGTGTAAAACTGTTCCCATTCCTGTTCCCATTCCTGTTCCCATTCCCGTTCCCATTCCCGTTCCCATTCCCATTCCCGTTCCCATTCCTGTTCCCATTCCTGTTCCCATTCCCGTTCCCATTCCCGTTCCCATTCCTGTTCCCATTCCTGTTCCCATGGTCGTAGGGACTCCAACTGGAACCCCACCGGGTGCAGTGCGCGGGGCTCTTCTCTCTCGATTCCCGACCACCCCTCTAGCCCCCCCCCACCCCCACATGTTCTTTGGGTTGCCTCTCGGGCTTCCTCAGCGGTTGGTCCCGTTGGCGTTGTCGTTGATCCTCTCTTACCCAGGGTCCTTTCCCAGCAAATATCTCCTCCCACGACCACCATTCGCCCACCTGTGACAAAGCTATTCGCTCCTCCTCGGCACGCTGCTTGGTCCTTTTGTGGTGGGATCTTCTGTCACGATCGTTGAGAGACGGGTCGGACCAAGGTGCAGCGTGAAAAGCGTACATGTTTATTCACTCAATAAACATACAACAAAACAAGAAACAATGTAACATGAAGTCCTCAGGCTACACGCATACAAGCCTAAAACGGAACAAGATCCCACAACTAAGGTAGGCAACCAGGCTACCTAAGTATGATCCCCAATCAGAGACAACGAGCGACAGCTGCCTCTGATTGGGAATTACACCCGGCCAAACATAGAAATACAACCTAGATCTACTACATAGAAATACACTAACATAGATCTCAACAGAAAACTCACACCCTGACCCAACCAACGAGAGTTCTCTGGATCAGGGCGTGACAGTCCCTTTAATTTCTGGACATTAACGTCCCCTGTCTATGCAGTGCACTCTGAAGAGGCCTCTGAGCCACAAAGCGTTTTTTTTACTATGCAATAGCCGCTAAAATAAAGGCTTTTTAGCTTTTCCATAAAAAAACATTTAAAGATATATGAAAAATTATATTTTGTATTCGTGGATTAATTTACCTTTAGGCAATGCCTTTTATGAAGTTTTTTGATTATGAAAGAAGAAGAAAAAAGCCATCGAAAACCTTCATGAAAGACATCAGGTAGAAGTCAAACGAATATGAATATAATTGTACATCTTAAATGACCACGTTTTCATGAATTTGATGATATACGGTAAGCTTGAAGCCCATTGAAAAACAGTATTGGGACTTGCACCAGGAAGTAGGCGGGGCTTTCATAGTGTATTGGGCTGCCTGTATAAACGCAGCCTGAGAAATAAACTGTCCAATCGTACGTTCTGTTGTGTTCTGTGGACATATGTACATGACACTGAGACAGTACTTCCTTATAAAATGTATTTATTATGTTTATTGCATGGCAGTGCTTCAACTTTATACTTCCATCGCTCATCACTACGGTAACAATACTTTATATTAACTAGCTTTTATTATCCAACACAATGATCCAACCAAACCACCAATTCACATATCCATTGATCCGTTGATTGGTTGATTGATTGATTAAAGATATTCAAGAAGTATTTTGACACTTCAAATACTGTAATAACTTATTGTTTTTATATAAAAAATATTTTGCAGACTGACTGTATGTTGTGGATAATTTGTAAATTATTTCAATTCTACTGCACAGCAAAATAAAGTAAACCAATTAAGTATTATTATTATTAATAATATTAAATCAAATATCACATGTCAATGAAGTAGCATGTTACATCAAATATCACCTACAGATCGTGGATACTTTATTCAACGGTGAGCATATTTTAATAGAAAATAAATAACTTTATAAATAAGAAATAACTCAATCTTATTTTTTTGGCTTTTAAAAGGTTATTTTGTGGATATTTAGTGAAAAAATGACAAATTTTTGGTGGTGAATATTTGGTGGACAGAATAAGACAACAAGAACAAAATGTTATTTTGATCTGACATTCTCTTTGTAACTATTCAGAAACGACTCTGTCTGTGAAGTAGATTATGCTGTTTTTTCCTATGGCTCTTTTGGTCACCTGTGGAACAACCAAGTTACTGAGAGGTCAGTCAACTCTTCATGTAACTCAATTCCTCTACACCACCTGAATGCCATTGACACCACCTGTTGTTTAGTGTTCCTTTAATGCCATTGACACCACCTGGTGTTGCTAGTGTCCCTTTAATGTCATTGACACCACCTGTTGTTGCTAGTGTCCCTTTAATACCATTGACACCACCTGGTGTTGCTAGTGTCCGTTTAATACCATTGACACCACCTGGTGTTGCTAGTGTCCGTTTAATGCCATTGACACCACCTGGTGTTGCTAGTGTTCCTTTAATGCCATTGACACCACCTGTTGTTGCTAGTGTTCCTTTAATGCCATTGACACCACCTGGTGTTGCTAGTGTCCGTTTAATGCCATTGACACCACCTGTTGTTGCTAGTGTTCCTTTAATGTCATTGACACCACCTGGTGTTGCTAGTGTCCGTTTAATGCCATTGACACCACCTGGTGTTGCTAGTGTCCCTTTAATGCCATTGACACCACCTGTTGTTGTTAGTGTCCCTTTAATGCCATTGTCACCACCTGTTGTTGCTAGTGTTCCTTTAATGCCATTGACACCACCTGGTGTTGCTAGTGTCCCTTTAATGCTATTGACACCACCTGGTGTTGCTAGTGTCCCTTTCCCAACCCACGTTGCTCTGCTTGCTTTTACATCATTACATTTTGGTCATTTAGTAAAACACTCTTATTCAGAGTGACTTCCAGTCAGTGCATTCAACTACATTAGGTAGGATAGACAACCACACAATCACAGTCGTCGCAAGTAAAACCTTCAAAGACATAATGTTCTTCTTATAGCAGAAACGAACAGAACAGAAAGTTTGTTCAGATTCTGCCTCAACCTCACAGATCAATGGGACTATTTCTTCTCTTCTGTGGTTGCCACAGAACCCATCTCCACCCCTATCTCCTGGACCTCCTGGACCTCCTGGGCCGGAACCACCACCTTCTTCTCCAGTCTGGTGATTCTGCGTTTCAGTCTGCTCTGGCCCGCCTCGTGTTCGGCGAGGAGCCGGGCGTATTGAGTCTGGAGGGCGTCCAGCGTTGCTGTCATCTTCTCCACCTTCTCCTCCATATCCTTGGGGTCCGGGCCCTGCGCCGCCACCTAGTTAACGATCAAGACATTGATTAATGAGTTAATCAATCAATCAATCAATCAATACATCAATCAATCATTATTAGTGAGTCTTCTCTTCCATGTCCCTGGGGTCCGGGCCCTGTGCTGCCAACTAGTGAACAATCAATACATTGATCAATTAGTAAATCAATTGGTCGGTCAGTTAGTCGATCAGATAATCAATTAATATCCAAATCTCCTCCATATCCTGGCGTCTGGGCCTTCTTCGCCACCTAATCATCAATCAATACATCCATCAGTTGGTCAGTCGGTCAACTGATCAGTTGGTCAGTCAGTCAATCAATTAAAAAGTAACTCAATCAGACGTCCAGGTCCAGCAGGTTGTCCTTCATCAGGATCTGTCATCCTACAGCATGGCCCTAGCATCATGACTATTATGACGATTATAGAGGTGTTATAGAGGTGTTATAGAGGTGTTATAGAGGTGTTATGGGATGTTATAGAGGTGTTATAGAGGTGTTATAAGAGGTGTTATAGAGGTGTTATAGAGGTGTTCTCGCGGTGTTTGGGCTGTTCTACGAGGTGTTCTCGAGGTGTTCTCTCGGTGTTCTAGCGGTGTTCTATTGTTCTCGCGGTGTTCTCGCGGTGTTATCGCGGTCTTCTCGCGGTGTTGGTTCTCGCGGTGTTCTCGCGGTGTTGCTCGCGGTTTTCGGGTGTTTCGCGGTGTTTCGGTGTGCTCGCGGTCTTCTCGCGGTGTTCTCGCGGTGTTTCTCGCGGTGTTCTCGCGGTTCTCGGGTTCGCGGTGTTCTCGCGGTGTTCTCGCGGTGTTTCGCGGTTTCTCGCGGTGTTCTCGCGGTTTCTGCGGTGTTCGGTGTCTCGCGGTGTTCTCGCGGTGTTCTCGCGGTGTTCTCGCGGTTTCTCGGCGTTCTCGCGGTGTTCTCGCGTGTTCTCGCGGTGTTCTCGCGGGTTTGGCGTTTGCGGTGTTCTCGCGGTTTGTTCTCGCGGTGTTCTACGGTGTTCTCGAGGTTTCTCGCGGTGTCTGAGGTGTTTCGCGGTGTTCTCGAGGTGTTCTAGCGGTTTCTCGCGGTGTTCTCGGCGTGTTATCGAGGTGTTCTCGCGGTGTGTCGCGGTTTCTCGCGGTGTTTCGCGGTGTTCTCGGGTGTTCTCGCGGTTTGTTCTCGTCGGGTGTTCTCGCGGTGTCTCGCGGTGTTCTCGCGGTGTTCTCGCGGTGTTCTCGCGGTGTTCTCGCGGTGTTCTCGGTGTTCTCGCGGTTGTTCTCGCGGTGTTCTCGCGGTGTTCTCGCGGTGTTCTCGCGGTGTTCTCGCGGTGTTCTCGCGGTGGTTCTCGCGGTTCTCGCGGTGTTCTCCGCGGTGTTCTCGCGGTTTCTCGCGGTGTCTCGTCTCGCGGTGTTCTCGCGTGTGTTCCGCGGTGTTCTCGCGGTGTTCTGCGGTGTTCTCGCGGTGTTCTCGCGGTGTTCTCGCGGTGTTCTGCGGTGTTCTCGCGGTGTTCTCGCGGTGTTCTCGCGGTGTTCTCGCGGTGTTCTCGCGGTGTTGTTCCGGTGTTCTCTGCGGTGTTTCGCGGTTTCGCGGTGTTCGCGGTGTTCTGCGGTGTTTCGCGGTGTTCTGCAGGTGTCTCGGTGTTATCGCGGTGTTCTCGCGGTGTTCTGCGGTGTTCTCGCGGTGTTATAGGGTGTTCTAGGGTGTTTTAGAGGTTATGGTTACGAGGTGTTTCAGGGTGTCTAGAGGTTGTCATCGAGGTGTTACGGTACGCGGTTTCTCAGGGTCTAGGTGTTTATAGAGGGTTCATCGAGGTGTTTATGTGTTGTATCAGACGGTGTTATAGAGGGTTATGAGGTGTTTCGAGGTGTATCAGCAGGTGTATCAGTAGCGTGTATGTCTATGAGGTCTCTGGTGTTCATGAGTTTAGAGGTGTTTGATAGGGTAGGTGATCACGACGTGTCATAGCGGTGTTCTCGCGGTGTCTCGAGGGTCTACTGGGATGGTGTTTAACCTCGGGTCCAGCAGGTTGTACCTGTCTGCAGGTCGAAGTCCCTTTCGCCAGTGTTTACTCAGTCCAGCGGTTCCTCTCGACATGCGTCCTTCTCACCTGAGCTTGCATCAGGTCTCCTACAGGTGATGAGGCCTGAGAAACAGGTCAGAGTACCCCACACTCCTGATGTTAGCGGTCCTCCTGTTCCCTGCCCTAGAACCTGGAAGAAAATGAAGCACAGCAACAACTTGTTGATTGGAGGAATCTTTACTTTAGTATCCAGCAGCAGATCACGAGACAATACAGCAGCAATGAAGCAGTGTAGCCATGTTCCTAACTCTGGGTCCAGGAGAGGAGACTGAACCTGGGTCCAGGAGAGGAGACTGAACCTGGGTCCAGGAGAGGAGACTGAACCTGGGTCCAGGAGAGGAGACTGAACCTGGGTCCAGGAGAGGAGACTGAACCTGGGTCCAGGAGAGGAGACTGAACCTGGGTCCAGGAGAGGAGACTGAACCTGGGTCCAGGAGAGGAGACTGAACCAGTCTTAGTTTGTCCTCAGCTCTAGTAGTGTTTTACCTATTTGATCTCTGCCCCAACCTGAAGAACCATTCTAAACATTAGCATGTCCACGTCCTACTGGTTGATAGTTAACCTGAAGAACCATTCTAATCATTAGCATGTCCACGTCCTACTGGTTGATAGTTAACCTGAAGAACCATTCTAATCATTAGCATGTCCACGTCCTACTGGTTGATAGTTAACCTGAAGAACCATTCTAATCATTAGCATGTCCACGTCCTACTGGTTGATAGTTAACCTGAAGAACCATTCTAATCATTAGCATGTCCACGTCCTACTGGTTGATAGTTAACCTGAAGAACCATTCTAATCATTAGCATGTCCACGTCCTACTGGTTGATAGTTAACCTGAAGAACCATTCTAATCATTAGCATGTCCACGTCCTACTGGTTGATAGTTAACCTGAAGAACCATTCTAATCATTAGCATGTCCACGTCCTACTGGTTGATAGTTAACCTGAAGAACCATTCTAATCATTAGCATGTCCACGTCCTACTGGTTGATAGTTAACCTGAAGAACCATTCTAATCATTAGCATGTCCACGTCCTACTGGTTGATAGTTAACCTGAAGAACCATTCTAATCATTACATGTCCACGTCCTACTGGTTGATAGTCTGGTTGATAGTTAACCTGAAGAACCATTCTAATCATTAGCATGTCCACGTCGTACTTGTACGTTATTTATTTGGATAGTTCCTGTCACACCAAACTTGATTCCACACCATCACTGGGTGAAACCTCTTCCAAACGAATGACCTGATAACACACTCCATAAGGATAACATCAAACAAACCCTTTATGGCCAGAATACTGATCTCCCCGAAGTAGCTCCCGTCGCTAAGGACAACGAACTGTTTGATCCCGTCGTCGGCGACGACGGCCAGCTTCCCTTCCTTGATGATGTACATCTCTCGTCCGATGTCTCCCTTCTTGCAGATGTAATCACCTGGACTGTAAACCTGGGGCTGGAGCTTCAACACCAACTCTACCAGGAGGCCAGCCTCGCAGTCGGCAAAGATACGCACCTGGAGAAGGAGAGAGGGAGAGAGGGAGAGAGGGAGAGAGGGAGAGAGGGAGAGAGGGAAAGGGGGGAAAGTGGAGGATAGCTATTATGTTTTTATCAATTACTCTCTTCTATTCTGGAGTGATGGAGATCAGAATCAAGATGGAGAGGAAAGATTGTGGACAGAAAGCGAGTGCCATGTTTGCGTGAGAGAGTTCTCTCTACCTTCTTCAGTGTGTCCAGGTGTACGTTGATGGCGATCTCAGCCCTGAGTTTATCAGGAAGGAACTTTAGCACCTCCCGCTCGTCTACTGCCTTCTTATTGGTCCACAGGTAGTCAAACCACTTGATCACCCTCTTCTCCAGGTCCTGCAGATCACATGAAATTGTATTTTTTTTATTCCCCAAGGAGTAAAAGTAATTCCCTTCCACTCCTCCCCAGAAATATCACTTAATACATCAGAAATATAATCTAAATATACTGTATTATCAATATATCTTAATATAACCTAAATATATCAGAAATATAACCCAAATATATCAGAAATATATCCTATGTATAACAGGTATGATCAGCCTAACCTTAGTAGGACACATTGGGTGGAGGTGTGTAAAGAAAAAAGGAGCCCTAAAGATAAATGGGGTATAAGAAGATCCGGAAGAGGGAGTACGGAGTTGTGGAATTCCCGTGGAAGTGGTTAGTCAAGATCGCAGAGAATGCGAAAACAGCAATTGATAAGAACGAGAGAAGATACGCGGGGATCACATTACAGAGGAGCAGATAGAGACGGAGGGACGGTAGGACATGCGAATCTGAATACAAGAAATTAGAGATGAGCAAGGAAACACATAAAGTAGGAAAAAAAACAACAAAAAACATCCATGGACCTACAAGGAAGTGAAGAAAAAAAAACCTAAGGGGGAGGAAGGGAAGGGGAAAGGAATAGAGATAGGCAAGAAGAGGATAGAAAAAGATGGAGGCTCAGACTCAAGTGGGGAGTGAACGCTTTGTCACCAAGCCACAGCCATAATAGTACAAATAGAATTCTAGGTTGCCGACAATCTTTGCTCCCCACAAGCTCTCGGCAGCATGGGCTCACAGGCTTGGCGGTGTGGAAAAGACTTGGCTACCCATTCGTAGCGTGTATTACGCTTCTCTTCTGAAAGTCATGTGGGTTCCATGAGTTCACTAGGTACTTCTTTATAACCATGTGATCAGAACCGCCCCATGTCGTATCCGGGTCCTGGAAACGTAGGTGCACAGCTGGAACACTGCGCAGTGTCCAGGTGAGCATTGTATGCCGTAGCTACCGTACATGTAGCACCTCACGAAGAGTTCCCACCTAGGCTATGTATGATGATCCGCTCTGACCAAATGCCATCAAAGTCAGACTCAACCTAAGCGTCTCAGCATACTGCACTGCTACAACCGAGTCACTGATAAAGTATGGTCTAGGGCAATGATCGAGGTAGTGTTAGGGCTGGAAACAACACGCCAGGTGCAAGCGTACCCTGCAAGCTCAAGAGGTACAGACAGAGGATGGGTGGCGAGGGGGATAGGAGCATCTGCGAGGGCGTCCCGGGGTAAGTAGGAGAGTCTAGCATCATCGCCTAGCGTTTAGTAAGCTTTAAGCACCCCAGATCAGGAGATGGGGGACATTAATAATGATCCCACGAGGGATAGGGTACTCGTCGGTATTTCGGTAGCATGGTGGGGGCGGAGAGGGGTCATCGGATCCGATGGGGACAGGTGAGAGTCAGGGGGTCGCGGCAAGGGCAAGTACTGCATTTGAGGAAGAGGTATCACAAATGGTATTACTATACTCCATAGCTATTTATTACTGAGTAAGGAAATTAAGGTGGTATTGGCTACTAACTGGTCAAAATTAATAATACTATATAATTACGAATATTTATAAGTGAGCGAGTAGGTATTAAAGGCTATAAGAATACTGAACAATATTCCTAATGATTACTATAGCATTACTAGTAGTTAGAATAGTACATAGGTGATAGATGGACTATAATATTTGGACGGGGGGGGTGGGGTGATATTAACAAGGAGAGGGGAAAGGGATATGGGGGGATAGGAAGTGACGTAATGAACATAATGTGGACTAAAACATAATTAATATATTATTATAACGTTACATGAATAGTCCACGAAGTGTATGTTATTAATTAGATCATAACCAATTACTGTTTATAGCGAACAGGCGTGGCTATAGTAGAGTGACGATCAATATGGACTCTATAATGACTATGAGTACACTTTAATGAATTATAAGGTTATGGGGGGCGGTAGGAAATGATCAACTGTATGTAGCCTAAAAAGAGCATGTGACTCGTCATGCTGGACAATTGGGATTTATACATCTGTTACAGTCCTAGCTGGGTCTTGAGGTAGATCAGAATGCGGCAAAAGTGTAGAACCAAGGGGAAAAGCAATAGGGTGGAAAACAAGAGGGGTAAATCAACAAAAAAAAATAACAACAAAAAAAACACTGAATGAAGAGAACCAAAATACCGCGCATTTTACAGCACATACAGGGATTTTTTCAACGGGGGACACCTTCCCGTACTGACTGGGACATACAGTGAAAAGTTTAGAAGGAGTAGGAGGCTGAATCACTGCGAGCACACCATTATTAGGCATGAGTCGGTAGCGCTCCGTAAACCTCACTCCAGAATAGTAAGAAGTACCGGAGCCGGTAATACGGGTGCCTCAAACTCAGAGGGAGAAGGATTCAGTGAGTCGTGTCTGGGTTCGGAACAAGACTTCTATCTATAACACAGTGTACGTGTATCTTTATCTCCGGTCCGAACCCTGCTCTAGCCAGGTTTTCAGTGTTTCATTGTCTCTCTTTTTGTAGTTTTTTATTTCCTGCTTACTATTTATTCTTCTATCCTCGCGTCACGTCTTTATCCTCAACTCAATGTCTGTGGAATCAAGACAAACAACACGCATTCACTAAGAAGAGAAAGGAGGAGTAGAGACAATGAGGTCCAGTGGTGTGTGTGTGTGGTGGTGGTGTTGTGTGTGTTGTGTGTGTGTGTGTGTGTGTGTGTGTGTGTGTGTGTGTGTGTGTGTGTGTTTGTGTGTGTGTGTGCCCGTGTGTGTGGTGTGTACCTTGAGAAGGAGTAGTAGAGACATGCGTTCCCAGTGTAGGATGATGACGATGTCACATGACAAGGTTGGAGATACGCAGAACGTTGGGGAAATTGGTCCTAGTCTCTGTCCTCTGGAAGAACTCCAACATCCTGGTATAACATCGAGAGAGATGGAGGGATGAATGGATCGATGGAGGTAAGAGAAGAGGAGAGAGAGAGAGAGAGAGCTCGTCTCTCTCTCCTCTTCTCTCTCTCTCTCTCTCTCTCTCTCTCTCTCTGGGCGTTTCTGTTTCTCTCTCTCTCTCTCCTCTCTCTCTCTCTCTCTCTCTCTCTCCGCTCTCTCTCTCGATCTTAATACGAGAGACTGCGGAGAGAGCATCTCCGCGCGAGTAATGAGGTATGGTCTATACCCCTCACATTTTGTACTTTGTTAAGATTTCTCTTCCTCTGGGAGAACTCCAACTCCTCTAAAGTATAGTACACTCTTAGAAAAAAAGGTTTATTTGGCTTTCCAGATAGGAGAACCCTTTGAAGACCCCCTTTTGGTTCCTGACGAACCATTTTTAAACAAAGGGTTCTACGTGGAACCCCAAAAGTTTCTACTGGAACCAAAAAGAGTTCTACCACTGGAACCAAAAAGGTTCTACATGGAACCAAAAATAGTTCTCCTTTTGGGGACAGCCCACAGAGACCCTTTGTAACCCTTTTTTCAGAGTGTAGGGTAGAATAAAGTACAGGTAACGTCGCCTACAGTAGAGTATCCCCATTCGCGTAGCCTACGTCGAAGTCAAGTAGACTCCCGTAGACGTATATAAGTCGCTGGAGCCTCTCCTCCCGTCTGCTTCGCCTACCGTCCGCGCGCCACTCAGTCCCGTCGCGGAGCCTAAAGTAGGCGCACTCCAACTCCCTAGAGTCGGGTCCACATCGCCTCCCGTCGCGCTAGTCTCCTCCCGTCGCGTCGCCTCGCTCCCGTCGCCTCGCCTATCCGCCGTCGCTGCGCGTCGCGTCCGCTCGCCTCCCTCGCGTCGCCTCCCGTCGCGTCGCCTCTCCCCATCGCGTCGCCTCCCGTGCTCCTCCCGTCGCGTCGCTTTGCCTCCCGCCGCGTCTCTCTCCTCCTGTCGCGTCGCCTCCTCCCGTCTCCTCCAGCCCTCCCGTCCCGTAAGCGTCGACCCTCCTCCCGTCGCGTCGCGTCTCCTCCCGTCCGCAGTCGCGTCGCCTCCCGTCGAGTCGCGTCCTCCTCCCGCCGCGTCCCTCACGTCGCGTCCTCGCATCCCCCTCGCTCTCTCGCCTCCGTCGCGTCGCGTCGCCTCTCCTCCCAGTCCAGTCGCGTCCGCAGTCGCCTGTCCCTCCCTCGCGGCTCGTCGCACTCCAGTCGCGTTAGCCTCTCGTCCGCCTCGCCACCCCGTCGGTTTCTCTCGCCTCCGTACGCCTCGTGCGTCGCCTCCATTCGGCCTACCTCCCAGTCCCGTACTCCCCCCCCCCCCCCTCGTCTCGCCCTTTGCGCTCGCTTCTTGTCCTTGTAATTACTTTCGACTTCCGACTTCTTGTAAATCGGTACTTAACTACGCTGTGATATTGGTGGTCCCACCTAGCTATCTGAAGATGATGAACTAACTGTTGATATGTTGTGGGTCCCATCTAGGCTATCTGAAGATGATGACTAACTGTGATATGTTGGTGTCCCATCTAGCTTATCTGAAGATGACTGAACTAACTGTGATATTTGGTTGGTCCCCACCTAGCTTCTGAAGCTGAATGCACTAACTGTAAGTCTCTCTGTATAGGAGCGTCTGCTGAATGACTAAAATGTACATCCTAGTGATAACATGGCGAGACATTAATGAATGATGCATTCATATCTCTAGTTACACACCTGTTGATTCTGAACAGACTCTAGTTAACTCACCTGTTGATTCTGAACAGACTTTAGTTAACTCACCTGTTGATTCTGAACAGCTTGTTGAGTCGTATTTCTAGTTGACTCACCTGTTGATTCTGAACAGACTCTAGTTAACTCACCTGTTGATTCTGAACAGCTTGTTGAGTCGTATTTCTAGTTGACTCACCTGTTGATTCTGAACAGACTCTAGTTAACTCACCTGTTGATTCTGAACAGCTTGTTGAGTAGTATCTCTTGTTGACTCACCTGTTGATTCTGAACAGCTTGTTGAGTAGCATCTCTTGTTGACTCACCTGTTGATTCTGAACAGCTTGTTGAGTCGAATCTCGGGGTAGTTGAGTCCAAAGTAAAGATAGAAGACGTCAGTGGGGATCATGGAGATCAGGTCGAGTTTAAACTGGAGGCTGTTTATGTAGCGATCTCTCAGCTTCTTCTGATCCTTCACCAACAGACCCTGTTCCAGGTAACCTATACACAGGGACAGACTTTACCAACAGACCCTGTTCAAGGTAACCTACACAGGGACAGACTTTACCAACAGACCCTGTTCCAGGTAAGCTACCACACAGGGACAGACTTTACCAACAGACCCTGTTCCAGGTAACCTACACAGGGACAGACTTTACCAACAACACTGCCCCAGGAAACCTAAAAGGGCCGCCTTCCCAAACAGACCTTTTCAGGTAACCATAAAAGGGGAAAAACTTTCCAACAGCCCCTTTTCCGGGTAACCTCACAGGCGGATTTTAAAAAAGACCCTGTTCCGGGTAACCTATACACGGGACAGGGATTTACCAACAAAACCCTTTCCCCTTTAAACCTCCCGGGGACAGGGACTTTACCACAACCCTTTTCCCCGGTAACCTACAACAGGGAAACTTTACCAAACAGACCCGTTCCGGGAAACCCTCCCCAAAGGGAAAATTTTACCAACAGCCCTTTCCCAGGTAACCTCACATGGACAGATTACCAAAGACCCTGCCCAGGTAAGCTACCACACGGGGAAAAGACTTTACCAACAGCCCCCTGTTCCATAAACCTCACGGGCAATTTTACCAACAGACCTTTCCAGGCAACCTAAACACAGGGACGCTTTCCAACAACCCTGTTCCAGGTAACCTATCCAGGGACAGACTTTCCCAAACGACCCTGTTCCAGGTAACCACACCACAGGGACGATTTTCCCAAAACAACCTGTTCCAGGTAACTACACAGGGACAGACTTACCAAAACCCGTTCCGGGTAAGCACCAAACGGGGGGCCGATTTCCCCACGCCCCTGTTCCGGGAAACCTCCCGGGGGACGACTTTACCAACAAAACCCTGTTCCAGGTAACCAACACGGCCCGATTTACCAACACCCCCTGTTCCCAGGTAACCTACAAGGGACAACTTTACCAAAGACCTGTTCCAAGGTAACCCCCAATGGACAAACTTTACCAACAACCTTTCCGGGAAAGTACCCACAGGGACTACTTACCTAGACCCTTTTCCAGGGAAACCCTAAAACAAGGGACAGACTTTACCAAATACCCTTCCCCAGTACCTAACACAGGGGACAGACTTTACCAACTCCCCTGTTCCAGGTAACCTACACGGGACGCCTTCCCAAAAACATCCCCTTTTCCGGGTAACCTAAAAAGGGACGGACTTTCCCCAAACCCCGCCCAGGGGTAACCCTAACAACAGCCCTCCAAAACGACCTTTTTCCGGTAAAACCACACGGGGGAAAAGATTTCCCAAAGACCCTGTCCAAAAACCCCCACCGGGACTCTTTACCAGAAGACCTGTTCAAGGAAAACCTATACAGGGGACAGTTTACCAAAAACCCCCGTTCCAGGAACCTACCCCCCCAAAAAAAACTTTTTCCCAACAGCCCCCTGTTCCAGGAAACCCACCAGGGACGACTTCCCAAAACGACCCTTTTCCAGGTAACCTACACTGGACAATTTTACCAACGACCTTTCCGGAACCTACCTGGCAGACTTTCCAACAGCCCCTTTCGGGTAACTACCACCGGGACAGCTTACCCAGCCCTGTTCCGGTAACCCCCAAAAGGAAACTTACCAACAGACCCTGTTCCGGGAACCTTTACCGGGACAGACTTTACCAACCGCCCCTGTTCCGGGAACCCTACACACAAGGGGGACGGGAATTTCCCAAACAGAACCCTGAAAAGGTAAACCAGGGACAGATTTCCAAACAACCCTTTTCCAGGAAAACCACACGGGACAATTTTTCCCCCGCCCCTGTTCCAGGAAGCTACCAACGGGACAGATTTTCCCAAACAGCCCCGTTCCAGGAACCTCACGGGGACAGATTTTCCCAACGACCCTGTTCCAGGAAAACTAAACACGGGGACAGATTTTCCCAAAAAACCCTTTTCCGGGAAAAACCCTTTATAACGGGACAATTTCCCAAACAGACCCTGTTCCGGTTAACCCCTACCACACAGGGAAAGACTTTCCCAACAACCCTGTTCCAGGTAACCTACACATGGACGGGACTTTACCAACATACCCTGTCGGGGAAACCCACCAGGGACATTTTTACCTACGGGACCCTGTTCCAGGAACCTACACAGGGACGACTTTACCAAACCCGTTCCAGGAAACCCTATACCGGGCAATTTCCCCCAACAGACCCGTTCCAGGAACCTACACCAGGGACGACTTTAAAAACAGACCCTGTTCCAGGTAACCTCACAGGGACAGATTTACCAACAACCCTTTCCAGGTAAGCTACCCCCCAAGGACGATTTCCCCCAAAACCTGTTCCAGGAAAACCCTTCCAGGGGAAAATTTCCCAAAACAGACCCTGTTCCAAAAACACCACCGGGGAAGTTTTTCCAACGCCCCTGTCCAGGTAACCTAACATACAATTTTTCCAACAGCCCTGCCCCCGGGGGCTACCACACGGGGGAACTTAAAAACGCCCTGTTCCAGGTAACCCTCCAAAAAGGGACAACTTTACTGAGATATGTTCCGGTACCTGAAAACGGGGAAAGACTTTCCCAAAGCCCCGTTCCCGGAAACCTTTAAACAGGGACAGTTTTCAACAGACGTTCCAGGTAACCCACACACAGGCAGACTTTCCAAAACGACCCTTTCCGGGAAACCCTACACTGGACGACTTACCAACAGCCCCGTTCAGGTAAGTACCACACAGGACAGACTTTACAACAGACCGTTCCAGGTAACCTCACGGGACAGACTTCCCAAAAGCCCCGTTCCAGGTAACTCCCACAGGGCAGACTTTCCTACAGCCCCCTGTCCGGTCCCTACACAGGAAGCTTTCCCCCGACCCTGCCAGGTAACCCTAACAGGGACAATTTCCCAACAGCCCTTCCGGGAAACCCCCCTACACACAAGACAGCTTTCCAACGCCCTGTTCCGGAACCTACACATGACGACTTTCCCAAACCCGACCCGTCCAGGAAGTCCCACACAGGGACAGACTTTTCCACGACCCTTTTTTCAGGTAACCTATACACAGGGGGACAGGTTTACCAAAGACCCTTTTTCCGAACCCTACACACACGGGACGTTTTACCAACACCCTGTTCCAGGAAAACCTAACATGGACAACTTTCCCAAACAGCCCCTTTCCAGGTAAGCCCCCACACGGGGACGATTTTCCAACGACCCTTTAGGTAACCCCCCGGGACAGACTTACAACAGACCCTTTCGGGTACCTACACGGGACAGACTTACCCAACAGCCCCTTTTTCCAGGAACTACAAGGGAAGTTTTTACACAGCCCTTTTCCCGGGTAACCTCACAGGGCAGTTTACCAACAGCCCCCTGTTCCAGGAAACTCCCCACCGGGACAACTTTACCTGAGCCCCCTGTTCCAGGAAACCTCAACAAGGGACAGATTTTACCAACACCCCCTGTTCCAGGAACCAACACAGGGGCAATTTTACCAACATACCCTTTTCCCAGGAAACCCACAAGGGACAGACCTACCAACGACCTTTTTCCATTTTAACCTGAAACAGGGACAATTACCAAAATACCCTGCCAGGAACCTACACAGGGCCCGCCCTTACCAACGCCCCCTTTTCCCAGGTCCCCGAACACAGGGCGACTTTACCAACGACCCTTTTCCGGAAAACCTATAACAGGGACAGACTTTACCAAAAGACCCTTCCGGAAACCTCACCACAGGGACGATTTACCAACAGACCTTTCATTTAACCACTAGGGCCCGATTTACCAACAGCCCCGTTCCAGGTAACCTCACGGACAAACTTTAGCAACAGACCCTTTTCCAGGAACCACACAGGGACAGACATCCCAACAGCCCGTTCCAGGTAACCTAACGGGGAAAACCGATTTCCCAACAGCCCCTTTTGGGCCCCCTACCAGGGACGATTTTAAAAAACAACCCTTTTCCAGGAAACCCTACACAGGGACAATTTCCCAAAAACCCTTTCCCCGGAAACCCTACACACAGGGACAGACTTTCCCCAACAGACCCTTTTCAGGTAACCTACACCCGGGACAGGGTTTCCCAAACAGACCCTGTTCCAGGAAACCCTAACACAGACGCCCTTCCAAAAACCCCGCCCCAGGTCCCTACAAAATGCAGATTTCCAACAGACCCTTTCCGGGTTTAAAACAATGACGACCTTAAAAAGCCCTTTTCCAGTAACCTCACCAAAATAAAGACTTTACCAACAGACCTTTTCCGGGAAAGTACCGGGACGACCCCCAACAGACCCGTTCCGGGAAACCCTACAAACGGGGACAGCTTTACCAAAGCCCTGTTCCAGGTAACCAAAAAGGGGGACTATTTTCCAAAAGACCCTTTTCCCAGGAACCTAACAGGGAGACTTTCCAACCCAGCCCCTGTTCCAGGTAACCTACACACATGGACAGACTTTACCAACAGACCCTGTTCCAGGTCCCCTACGCCGGGACAGCTTTACAACAGACCCTGTTAGGTAACCTCCACCAGGGACGACTTTACCAAAGCCCCTTTTCCAGGAAACCTAAAAAGGGGAACGATTTACCAAAGCCCCTTTCCAGGTAATCACAAGGGACGATTTCCCAAAAGCCCTGTTCCAGGTAACCTACGCCAGGGACAGACTTCCCCCAACAGACCCTTTTTCCATTTACCTACACCCGGGGACCTTACAACAAAAACCTGTTCCAGGAAACCCTACACGGGACAGACTTTAGCAACGACCCTTTTTCCGGTAACCTAACTGGAATACTTTAAAAAAAACCCCTGTTCCAGGTACCTACACGGGACGATTTTCCCAACATCCCCTTTTCCGGTAACCAACCAGGGGACTTTATTTACCACAGCCCCTGCCCGGGAAAAACCCACAGGGAAAGCCTTACCAACAGCCCCTGTTCCGGAACCTAAAAGGGGGACATATTTTTACCAACAGACCCTTTTTCCAGGTAACCTACACAATGGACAGATTTACCAACAACCTTTCCAGGAAACTACCAACGGACGACTTTCCCAAACAGCCTGCCAGGTAACCACACAGGGCCAAACTTCCCAACAGCCCTTTTTAGGAAACCTACACACAGGGACGATTTTTACCAAACAACCGTTCCAGGAAACCCCTACACCCGGGAAGACTTTACCAAACGGCCCTGTTCCGGAAAACCTACACAGGGGACGGACTTCCCAACAGACCCTTTTCCAGTTAACCTACACTGGACAGCTTTACCAACAGATGCCCAGGTAAGTACCACACAGGGCAGGGTTTTTCCCAACAACCGTTCCAGGTAACCTACACGGGGCGGGGTTTACCAAACAGACCGTTCCGGGAAACCCCTCCCACAGGGCAGATTTACCAACAGACCCTTTCCGGGAACCTACACAGGACAGATTTTTAAAACGACCGTTCAAGGTAACCTCCCCGGGACGACTTACCACAGACCCTTTTCCCCGGTAACCTCGACGGGACAGACTTTACTAACAGCCCCCTGTTCCGGAAAACCCCAACGGGACGACTTAAACCAAAGCCCTTTAGGAACCCTACACCCGGGCGATTTTTACCAAAGCCCCCTTTTCCGGGTAACTCACGGGGGAAGACCTTACCAACAGACCCGTCCAGGTAACCTACACATGGACTACTTACCAACAGCCCTTTTCCCGGGTAACCTAACAGGGACGTTTTTACCAACGACCCTGTTCCATTTAAACCCTAAAAACCGGGGAACCCTTTCCACAGACCCTGCCCAGGTAACCTACACAGGGACAACTTTAGCAACAACCCGTTTAGGTAACCTACACGGGACAATTTTACCAAAAACCCCTGTTCCGGGGTAACCCTCAAGGGCCAGATTACAACGACCCTGTTCCAGGAACCTACCATGGCATACTTTACCAAACGACCCTTTCCAGGTAACCTCACAGGGACAGTTTTCCCAAAGACCCTTTCCCAGTCCCTACACAGGGACATATTTCCCAAACGGGGACCTGTTCCAGGACTCACCCATGGACCTTTCCAAAGCCGTTCCAGGTAAGCTATCACAGGGACAGATTTACCCCAGCCCCTTTTCCAGAAACCCTCCACAGGGACATATTTCCAACAGACCCTTTTCCAGGAACCCTAACAGGGACAGACTTTACCAACGACCTGTTCCAGGTAGTACCACCAGGGACAGACTTTCCCAAGACCTTCCAGGTAAGCACACAACAAGACAACCTTCCCAAAGACGTTCCGGTAACCTCACGGAAGGGTTTTACAACGCCCCTTCCCCGGAAACCCTACCAGGACAACTTAATACGACCCTGTTAAAGGAAACCCTAACGGGAAGGTTTAGCAACGCCCCTTTCCAGGTAACCTAAAAACGGGACAGATTTTACGAACAGACCCTGTTCCAGGTCCCCTAAAACGGGACAGCTTTCCCAACATCCCTTTTCCCATTTTAACCCACACAGGACAACTTCCAACATACCTTTTTCCCAATTAACAAACCACTCGCCCTTACCACAGCCCTTTCCAGGTAACCTCCAGGGACAGACTTTAGAACAGACCCTGCCGGTAACTACACAGGGACAAAATTTACCGGAAACCCTGTTCCAGGAACCACACGGGGACGACATTCCCAAAGACCCTTTTCAGGTAACCATACACGGGACAGCTTAGCAAAGACCTGTTCCAGGTAACCTACACAGGGACGAATTTACAAAACGACCCTTTTCCCAGGAAAACCCTATAAAAGGGACAGATTTTACCCGCCCCGTTCCGGGAAATACACAGGCAGATTTTCCCCAAAAAACCCCGTTCCGTAACTAAAACAGGGACAACTTTCCCAAACAACCTTTTCCCAGGAACCTAGCACGGGACAGATTTACCAACAACCTTTTCCCAGTAACTACAAACACATGACAAATTTTACCAAATCCCTTATTCCAGTTAACCTACTCAGAGGACAGATTTTCTAACTTTCCCCTTTTCCAGGCCCCTACCCACGGGGACAGACCTTACCAAAACCCCCCCTTTTCCAGGTAACCTAAAAACGGGACAGACTTTACCAAAACCCTGTTCCAGGTACCTAACAAAGGGACAGACTTTACCAACGACCCTTTTTCCGGGAAACCCTACACAAAACAGGGACGATTTTCCCAACCCGACCCTGTCCAGGAAACCAAAACCAAACATGGACGACTTTCCCAACGCCTGTTCCAGGTAACCTACCCCCCCGGGACGATTTCCCCAACAGCCCCGTTCGGAAACCTACAACATGGCCCGATTACCAACGGCCCGTTCCAGGTCCTACCCCTGGACAGCTTACCAACGACCCGTTCCAGGAACCTACAAAAAGGGGAAATTTTACCAACAGCCCTGTTCCGGGAACCTACCCCCATGGACAGACTTTCCAACAAATTTTCCGGTAAGCTTACACGGGGACGACTTTACCAAAACCCCTGCCCCAGGAAACCTACCGGGGGACGATTTTTACAACAGACCCTTTTCCAGGAAAACCTACACGGGACAGACTTTACCAACAAACCCTTTTCCCAGTAGCCCCCACACGGGAAAGATTTTACCAAAGACCTTTTCCCGGGTAAGCTACACCACAATGAAGCCCTTTACCAAAAACCCTGTTCGGGAAACCTCCCCGGGACAGGGTTTGAAACAGCCCCTTTTCCGGTAACCACACGGGCCCGTTTTTACTTAAGACCCGTTTAGGAAAACCTACACGGGGAAGGTTTTTAAAGAAACGCCCTTTTCCCCGGAAACCTAAAAACAGGGAAAAGATTTTAGAACAGACCCTTTTCCCCGGGTAACCTAAAACAGGACAGACTTTCCCCAACATCCCCTGTTCCCAGTTAACCTAAAAGGACGATTTTACAACATCCTTTTTCCCAAATTAACAAACACACAGTGACAGACCTTACCAACAGACCCTGTTCCAGGTAACCTACACAGGGACAGGTTTTAGCAACAGACCCTGTTCCAGGTAACCCTACACGGGGGACAACTTTCCCAAAAACCCTGTTCCAGGTAACCTCCCAGGGACAGAATTCCAATAGCCCCCTGTTCCAGGAACCTTCACAGGGAAGATTTAGAAAAAGCCCCTTTCCCGGGAAACCTACCAGGGACGACTTACTAACAACCCGTTCCGGTACCTTAACGGGGACGATTTTACCAAAGACCTGTTCCAGGTCCCCTAACTGGACGACTTACCAAACAGACCCTTTTCCCAGGTAACCTCCAAACGGGGACAGATTTACCAACAAACCCGTTCCGGGTAACCCTCAAGGGGAAGACTTTACCAAAAACCCCTGTTCCGGGTAAGTACACAACTGACAAACTTCCCAACAACCTTTTTCCAGTTAACCTACCAGGTGAAGTTTTATTAAAACCCTTTTCCAGGAACCTACCCAGGGACGCCCTTCAACAGACCCTGTTCCAGGTAACCTACCACACAGGGACAGACTTTACCAACAGACCCTGTTCCAGGTAACCTTACACACACAGGGACAGACTTTACCAACAGACCCTGTTCCAGGTAACCTACACAGGGACAGACTTTACCAACAGACCCTGTTCCAGGTAACCTACACAGGGACAGACAGATGCAAAAAAGCACAAACACACACACACACACACACACACACACACACACAGGGACGTACAGGTATATGTTTTGGCAGAGTGTGTGTGTTCTCACCTGTTCTGGTCCTAAACACCATATCCGCCACGTAGACGACATCAGAGACATAATCAATGATAAACCAGTAGATCAGAAAGTCTGACTGGAGTTCCTCAAAACTCGCCCTGACACACACAGACAGTCAGAATGTCCTTAGAAGTGTTATCAATATATTAATCAATCAACCAATCAGTCAATCAATCAATCAATCAATCAAACAACCAACCACTCAATCAATCAATCAATCAACCAACTACTCTATCAATAAATAAATCAACAACCCAACCAATCAATCAATCGATCAATCAAACAATTAACCAATTAGTGTGTTAGTTACCTGGCTATGATGAGGGTCCAGTTGTACATAACAGGTATGGTGATGACCATTAGCCAGTTATAATACATGTTACCTGCTGGGTCTATCACCGTGATCTCTTTAGGCCTGGTCACACACACACACACACACACACACACACACACACACACACACACAACACACACACACGGGAGAAATAGATAGATGTATTCTCTTTAGGCCTGAGGGAGAGAGACCAGGGATATCCTGGAACATGGAATCAGATCTTTTGGGTTCTGATTTGTACCATAGTCAACTTTATAAAAAACTAAGCTGGGACTTTGTGAAGACACTTACGCTTCAGCTTTGGCCTTCTCCTCTTTCTCCTTCTTCTCCTTCTCCTCCTTCTCCTTCTTCTCCTTCTCCTCCTTCTCCTTCTTCTTCTCCTCTTTCTTCTCTCTTTTCTCCTGTTTTTCTTTCCTTGATAGAGAGAAAGAGGTCAGGATGAGTGGATGTCACAGGATGCTTCCCAAATGGGACCCTATTCCCTATATAGTACACTACCCTATGGGCCCTGGTCTAAAGTAGTGCACTATATAGGGAATAGGGTGCCATTTGGGAGATTGTTCTGGAGATCTCTCTGGTCCTTACTCCTTTTGTTCTTTCCTCTCCTTCTTCTTCTTCTTCTTCCTCTTCTTCTCCTCCCTAGGAAAGATCAGAGTGACAATTATTGTTAAAGGGATACTGCAATGCTACCTTACCTGTGGACTTCCAGTCATTGCACTAACGCTAGTTAGCATTGGCTTTGCAAAACAACCGCTAACTTCCTTCGTACTGCACGTAGAGAATCTCGCAGTAATCCCTTTAAGACATCAGGACTAGAGTCGGAAACTATGTTATCGTACATAATGGGGTCTGTGTGTGTATTTGTGTGTGTGTGTGTGTGTGTGTGTTTGTGTGTGTGTGTGTGTGTGTGTTTGTGTGTTTGTGTGTGTGTGTGTGTGTTTGTGTGTGTGTGTGTGTGTGTGTGTGTGTTTGTGTGTGTGTGTGTGTGTGTGTGTGTGTTTGTGTGTGTGTGTATGTGTGTGTGTGTGTGTTTGTGTGTGTGTGTGTGTGTGTGTTCGTACTCTTCCTCGTTGTTGTTGCTGTTGTTCATGTTGAAGGGAACCTGCACACCGGGCCTCCTTGTACACCTAGACGAAGATCACCATCATAAGACACAATGTTCTCTGATATTTCAGTTCGAGGTTCTATGTTCTATATCGTGGAGCTCCGCCCCATAGGGGAGCTCTGCTCCTATTGGTTTACCCACTGCCCTAAGGCAGCATCAGCCTGAGACAAAATTATGCACACACCTGCAGCCAACAGGAGTACAGGTGTCCCTATAAGAGGGGACGCTTCCCCTCAATCAGCCTCCCGAGATATTTATCTTCAGCGAGACTAGAGAGGGTCGGCAGGGCCTTAAGTCCTATGGGGCTCCGCTCCACTCATAGAACTGGAGTTACACTCCAGTAACTAATCGTTCTATGTTCTAAGTTCTAAGGTCTATAGGTCCTTACCTGTGTGCCTCCCCCATCTCCCCTGTCTCCCCCTCCATATCCTGCAGAGCGATTAGTGGTGGGGGGCGGGGCTGGGGCTGGGAGGGGGCTGGGCCAGCAGGGGTCACAGGGGCCACCCTCACTGACATCACAGGAAGTACTTCCTCTTGGTTTCCTGTGAGGTCAGAAGAAACAGCCCTATCTCAGATAGTGGGACAGGAACTAGTTGATACTCAGAGTAGTGAGACTGGAACTAGTTGATACTCAGATAGAAACTTTGAGGAAGGGTTTGCTGCTAGAGACTTTGAGGAAGGGTTTGCTGCTAGAGACTTTGAGGAAGGGTTTGCTGCTAGAGACTTTGAGGAAGGGTTTACTGCTAGAGACTTTGAGGAAGGGTTTGCTGCTAGAGACTTTGAGGAAGGGTTGCTGCCAGAATCTTTGAAGAAGGGTTTGCTGCTACAGATTTTGAGGAAGGGTTGCTGCTAGAGACTTTGAAGAAGGGTTGCTGCCAGAGTCTTTGAGGAAGGGTTTGCTGCCAGAATCTTTGAAGAAGGGTTTGCTGCTAGAGACTTTGAGGAAGGGTTTGCTGCTACAGACTTTGAGGAAGGGTTTGCTGCTAGAGACATTGAGGAAGTGTATGCTTTTACAGTCTTTGACGAAGGGTTTGATGCTAGAGACTTCGAGGAAGGGTTTGATGCTATAGTCTTTGAGGAAGGGTTTGCTGCTAGAGTCTTTGAGGAAGGGTTGCTGCTACAGACTTTGAGGAAGGGTTTGCTGCTAGAGACATTGAGGAAGTGTATGCTTTTACAGTCTTTGACGAAGGGTTTGATGCTAGAGACTTCGAGGAAGGGTTTGATGCTATAGTCTTTGAGGAAGGGTTTGCTGCTAGAGTCTTTGAGGAAGGGTTTGCTGCTAGAGTCTTTGAGGAAGGGTTTGCTGCTAGAGTCTTTGAGGAAGGGTTTGCTGCTACAGACTTTGAGGAAGGGTTTGCTGCCAGAAATGTTGAGGAAGGGATTGCTGCTAGAGTCTTTGAGGAAGGGTTTGCTGCCAGAAACTTTGAGGAAAGGTTGCTGCTAGAGACTTTGAGGAAGGGTTTGCTGCTACAGACTTTGAAGAAGGGTTGCTGCTAGAGACTTTGGGGAAGGGTTTGCTGCTAGAGACCTTGAGGAAGGGTTGCTGCTAGAGTCTTTGAGGAAGGGTTTGCTGCTAGAGTCTTTGAGGAAGGGTTGCTGCTAGAGTCTTTGAGGAAGGGTTGCTGCTAGAGTCTTTGAGGAAGGGTTTGCTGCTAGAGACTTTGAGGAAGGGTTTGCTGCTAGAGACCTTGAGGAAGGGTTGCTGCTAGAGACTTTGAGGAAGGGTTTGCTGCTAGAGACCTTGAGGAAGGGTTGCTGCTAGAGACTTTGAGGAAGGGTTGCTGCTAGAGTCTTTGAAGAAGGGTTGCTGCTAGAGACTTTGAAGAAGGGTTGCTGCCAGAATCTTTGAAGAAGGGTTTGCTGCCAGAATCTTTGAAGAAGGGTTTGCTGCTAGAGTCTTTGAGGAAGGGTTTGCTGCTAGAGACATTGAGGAAGTGTTTGCTTCTACAGTCTTTGACGAAGGGTTTGATGCTATAGTCTTTGAGGAAGGGTTGCTGCTAGAGTCTTTGAGGAAGGGTTGCTGCTAGAGATTTTGAGGAAGGGTTCCTGGTAGAGTCTTTGAGGAAGGGGTTGCTGCTAGAATCTTTGAGGAAGGGTTTGCTGCCAGAAACTTTGAGGAAGGGTTTGCTGCTAGAGACTTTGAGGAAGGGTTTGCTGCTAGAGTCTTTGAGGAAGGGTTCCTGGTAGAGTCTTTGAGGAAGGGTTTGCTGCTACAGATTTTGAGGAAGGGTTTGCTGCTACAGACTTTGAGGAAGGGTTTGCTGCTAGAGACTTTGAGGAAGAGTTTGCTGCTAGAGACTTTGAGGAAGGGTTTGCTGCTAGAGACATTGAGGAAGGGTTTGCTGCTAGAGACTTTGACGAAGGGTTTGCTGCTACAGACTTTGAGGAAGGGTTTGCTGCTAGAGACATTGATGAAGTGTTTGCTTTTACAGTCTTTGACGAAGGGTTTGATGCTAGAGACTTCGAGGAAGGGTTTGATGCTATAGTCTTTGAGGAAGGGTTGCTGCTAGAGATTTTGAGGAAGGGTTCCTGGTAGAGTCTTTGAGGAAGGATTTGCTGCCAGAAACTTTGAGGAAGGGCTTGCTGCTAAAGTCATTGAGGAAGGCGTTGCTGCTAGAATCTTTGAGGAAGGGTTTGCTGCCAGAAACTTTGAGGAAGGGTTGCTGCTTGAGTCTTTGAGGAAGGGTTGCTGCTTGAGTCTTTGAGGAAGGGTTGCTGCTTGAGTCTTTGAGGAAGGGTTGCTGCTAGAGTCATTGATTAAGGGTTGCTGCTAGAGACTTTGAGGAAGGGTTGCTGCTAGAGACTTTGAGGAAGGGTTTACTGCCAGAAACTTTGAGGAAGGGTTGCTGCTAGAGACTTTGAGGAAGGGTTGCTGCTAGATACTTTGAGGAAGGGTTGCTGCTAGAGACTTTGAGGAAGGGTTGCTGCTAGATACTTTGAGGAAGGGTTTGCTGCTACAGACTTTGAGGAAGGGTTCCTGGTAGAGTTTTGAGGAAGGTTTTGATGCTATAGTCTTTGAGGAAGGGTTGCTGCTTGAGACTTTGAGGAAGGGTTTGCTGCCAGAAACTTTGAGGAAGGGGTTGCTGCTAGAGTCTTTGAGGAAGGGTTGCTGCTAGAGACTTTGAGGAAGGGTTTGCTGCTAGAGTCTTTGAGGAAGGGTTGCTGCCAGAAACTTTGAGGAAGGGTTTGCTGCTAGAGTCTTTGAGGAAGGGTTTGCTGCTAGAGTCTTTGAGGAAGGGTTTGCTGCTACAGACATTGAAGAAGGGTTTGCTGCTTGAGACTTTGAGGGAGGGTTTGTTGCTAGGCAACAGGCTTACAAAGACATGACAGTGCAGTCCTCTGCCCGTTCTCTCTGTCTCTGTCGCTCTCTCTCTTTCTCTCTGTCTCTCACACTCACTCAGTGCTTATCAGCTATGTGATACAACCCTAGCATCTGATTGGACAAAAATAACTCGGCCTCCCAACGGAGGCATCTGATTGGTGGAAATAGAGCTTTGATGTATGTCACTATTAATCAACTTAATAGAGCTAAAGCCAATAAACATAACAGGTAACATTCAGAGAAATCCATCATATACGATCAATATGATGATCACTCAATATTACATAATGGTTAGAAGCATGAGTTCATTCAGAGAAAGAAGTACAATATATTAATTTGGATCAAAGGCTTCCAAACCAATCAGAGCTAAATGGTGGATATGACCTTCCTATACAACCTGACAGACTGAAGGAGGAGTTATTGAATTAACTAATAACTCATCAATTAGGTTGAACAGATACATGATTCCAAAGGAACAAGGAAGGAGTCATTGCAACATCAAATCATAAAAAACACTCGCAAATGAATCCACGCTACAAACATAACAAATAAATGATCTATCCTCAATAGAACGGAATACACAGTAAATGGGGTTATTGGAATATCAACCAACCTCATGGTTAAAGGCCCAAGGCCCGGAGCAAATACTTATCAAGCAACAACAACATAACAACATGAATCTTGATATTTCAGAAGTAGCTCCTCTAACTCACCTGTTGCTCGGTTAATCCTGTCCCCAGATAGCCAAAGACATGCCCTTCGTTTCTTACTACACACAGAACTCCAGCAGCGGCACCGTCCACCAACCAGGGTGCTTGCTCATCATCACGGAAACCCCTTGGCTCTGACCCACTGACACACACCACACACTCCCAAACGTTGAATCCCGCCTAGAAAGGTTTTGGAGCGGTTGAATTATTCCAGGTAATATTCCGGGTGTCTTGGCTAGAGGATCACTGAAACGCTGGCTCTGACCCTGAAGAGGATTTAGGGGATTAGGAACATGGATAATAATGAGGCCATCGCACACACACACACACACACACACCGCACACACACATACACCCTGGATCCTGTCTCTCCTGAGGTGTGTGTGCTGGGAGCAGCATTTAACCAGAGGAGTAGCATTAATGGGCTTACAAAGAATTAGAACAGTGAGCTGTGTGGTGTGTGTGTTTGTGTGTGTGTGTGTGTGTGTGTGGTGGTGTGTGTGTTTGTGTGTGTGTGTGTTTGTGTGTGGTGTGTGTGTGTGGTGTGTGTGTGTGTGTGTGTGTGTGTGGTGTGTGTGTGTGGTGTGTGTGTGTACCTGATTAGAGGCGATTGAGCTGAGTGTGCAGGATCTAGAGACAATTTATGGCTCCATTTCAATTCATCTCCTCGCATCCTCTCTCCTCGCATCCTCTCTCCTCGCATCCTCTCTCCTCGCACTACTATCAACACTACTATCAAACTACTACTGCTATCACACAACTACTTCACTACTACTAAAGTACTATCATCACTACTACTACACTACATTCACACTACTACTACAGTACTATCATACTACTACTACACCACTATCATACTACTACTACACTACTATAACAATACTACCAGACTACTACTAAAATACTACACTACTATCACTCTACTACACTAATATCAACACTACTACTACATTACTATCACTACTACTACTACTACTACTACTACTACTACTACTACCCTAACTAACCACTACAAACAGACTACACAAATATCAAACGACACGGCACACTACAATACTACTACCTAAAACCACAAAAAACAATCACACAACACACAATAAACACTACAACAACACTAAAAACACACACACTATACTACACACTTATACACACATACTAATAAAATAAAACATAAATACACTACCACTATACAAATACACAATACATATACAACACTACTTTTACTAAAAACTACTATACACTACAATACTGCTACACTACTCTACACTTTACTAATATACTATACTACTACTACACACTACTATACTAACTGCATACTACTACACTACTACACACATACTACTACACACTACTACTACATACTATATACACATTGCTACACACTAACACTACTACTACACACTACTGCTACACTACTACTACACTACTATACACTATACTGCTATACCTACTCTACCTACTACTACTACTTACTACACATATTTACTACACACTACTATACTACACTACTACTACTACACTACTGCTACACATACTCCCTACACTACTACTACTACTATTTACTACACTACCACTACTACTAGACACTACTACAAATACTACTAAACACTACTACTACTAACTACTGCTAACATCTATACTACTACTACTAACTACACTACTACTTTACTACTACTATAAAACTACTGCTATTTACTACAAATACTACTACCACTACTACTGCACACTACTACTACACTACAAATACTACTACTACTACTACACTACTGCTACACTAACTACTACTACTACACATACTGCTACACTACTACTACACACCTACTACTACTATCTACTACTACCACACTACACTTACTACTACTACTATACACACTACTACACTACTGCCCCTACTACCACTACACTACAACTATACTACACTACTTACTAATACTACTATACTACTACACACTACTCTACCTACTACACAATACTACTACACACTCACACTACTGCCCAGCTCCGCTAAAATACAACTGACACTACATACTACACTACTACTATACACTACTACACTACTATACTACACTACCACTACACTATATCAACACACTTCACACTACTACTAAACAAGGAACACTAACAAACAACGAAAACACTACTTACAAACACACTAAACACTTACACAAACACAACTAAAAACTGACGACATAATATACACTACAACACGATCAAACAATATAACTACTAACTAAAACTAATCTACACTACTACAATACTACTACTAAAAATACAACTACATACACTACTATCAACACATACTACTATACTACAAACTACCACTACTTATATACTACACTACTAATACTACTACACTTGCTACAACTACTACATTCTACTACTATACTACTACAAACTACTACTACACTACTACTTACTGCACTACACTACACTACTACTACACTACACTACTACACTACTACTACTACTACTACACTATTGCTACACTACTACTACACTACTACTACTACACTACTGCTACACTACTACTACACTACTACTACTATACTACTAATACACTACTGCTACACTACTACTACTACTACTACACTACTACTACACTACTACTATTACTACACTACTACTACTACACTACTGCTACACTACTACTACTACTACTACTACTACTACTACTACACTACCACTACTACTAGTACACTACTACTATACTACTAATACACTACTACTACACTACTGCTACAACTACTACTACTACTACTACTACTACTACACTACTACTTCTACTACTACTACTACTACACTACTGCTACTACTACTACTATTACTACACTACTACTGCACTACTACTACTAACTACACTACTACTACTACTACTACTACACTACTGCTACACTACTACTACTACTACACTACTGCTACACTACTACTACACTACTACTACTATACTACTAACTACTACTACACTACTGCTACACTACTACTACTACTACTACACTACTACTACACTACTGCAACACTACTACCACTACTAACTACCTACTACTCTACCTACTTCTACTATACTACACTATTTGCTACCTACTACTACAATACTCTCTACAATACTTACTACTGCCCCTTTCCCCGCTACACTGTACTACCTACACTAACTACTGCTAAACTACTACTGATACTATACTACTACTACTACTACTACTACTACACTAATACTACTACCTACTACTATACTACTACTACATACTACTACATACTGTTTACTACTACTACTACTATTTACTACTCTCCCTACTACTACACTACTACTACTACTACTACAACTACTACTACTACTACAAACTGACACCACTCTACACCACTACTACCACTACTACAAACTTCACAAACTACTACACCCACTACTAACTACTACACTTACACTACTACAAACACTACGCTACACTTCATTACACACTCTCTACACTACTACTACTACTACACTACTGCACACTATATACAATAACTACAATACTACACACGCTAAAACTAGTACAAATACTACAACACACTACACTACTACACTACTATACTACAAACTACTACTACTACCCTACCCTACACTACTAACTACTACTTACTCCAACTTACACTACTGCGACACTACTACACTACTACACTAACTATACTACTACACACTAATACTACTACACTACTGCTACACTACTACACACTTCACTCTATTACTACTACTACTACTACTACAACTACTTCTCTACTACTGCACTACACTACACTACTACTACAACAAATACTACACTAACCTACTATACTAACTACTACACACTACTACACATACGGGCTAACACTATACTAATATTCTACCTACTACTACTACTACACTCCCTACACTATGCTACACTAATATTACATATACTATTTCCCTACTACTACTACTACATACACTACTGCTACACTACTACTACCATTACTACACTACTCTACACACTACTGGCCTACACTATACTACCACTACTACACTACTACTTACTATACTACTACACTTACTGCTAACACACTACTACAAACAAATATACTACTACTACAAATACACTATTTGCTACCTACTACTACTACTTATTTACACTCTACTACATTTACGCACACAACTACTACTTTTACTACCCACGTATTCATACTACGACACTCCCCTAATACCTACACTACTGCTACACACTACTACACTAATCCCTATGACTACTAATACACTACTGCTACCCCCTACTACTACTGCTACAAACACTATTTAACACACTGCTACAACTATTACTACTACTATACACTACCAAATTATACTACTAAACCTACTGCTACACTAATAATTACACTTACAAACTACTACAACTACACTACTCTACTACACTACTGCACACTACTACTACATTACTCTATTACTACACTACTCCCCTACTGCTACACTAGTACTACCACTACACCTACTATACTACTACTACTACTATTTACTACTACTACTATACTACTACTACTACTACTCTACACTACTGTTTAACTAATCTACTACTACTACTACTACCTACTGCACACTCTACTACTCTACTACACTATACTATACACTACTAATACTACTACACTACTGCTACACTACACACACTTCTACTACTATTATACTATTTACAAACTACACACTATCTACCTTATAACACACACACACTACGAACTACACACACTACATATACTACTACTACTACACTCTACTGTTCACTACTACTACACTACTACTAATACTACTCACTACACTACTGCTACACTACTACTACACTACTAACTATCACTAATACCTACTACCACTACTACTACTTATACCTACTACTACACTACTGCTACACTAGACACAAACTACTACACTACCTACTACACTTACTACACTATGCTACACAAATTTACACTACTCCCTACTACACACTACTACTACTACACTATGCTACACTACTCAAACACTTACTACACTACTACTACCTACTGCTACACTAGTATACACTACTACACTACTACTATTTACTACACTACTGCTACACTACTACTACAAACTACAACTACTTTACTACACACTACTAATACTACTAAACACTACGCTACACTATACTACACTACGCACATTTATCCCACTACACTCCCAATACACTACCTACACAACACTATCAACTACTGGCTACACTATATACTACACTACACTACACTAATACACACTACTACTACTACTACAAAACACTACACCCCCAAACTACCATACACACACGACTGCAACACCAACTACACTACGACACTACACTACGGGCCCTACACACACACTACTACTACCCCTACACTACACACACAACACACTACTACTACACTACAAACACACACTGTAACACTACTACACACTACACACACACAATTTACACTACGGCAAACCCCACACTATACCACTACTACGACTACACACACTACACTACAACTACACTACTACACTACGCTACACCTACTACTACACTACTACTACTACTACTACTACACTACCACTACTACTACTACACTACTACTATACTACTAATACACTACTACTACACTACTGCTACACTACTACTACTACTACTACACTACTACTTCTACTACATACTACTACTACACTACTACTGCACTACTACTACTACACTATACTACTACTACTACTACACTACTGCTACACTACTACTACACTACTACTACTATACTACTACTACACTACTACTACTACTACTACTACACTACTACTACACTACTGCAACACTACTACCACTACTACTACACTACTACTACTACTACTACTACTACTACTACAATACTGCTACACTACTACTACACTACTACTACTACTACTACTACACTACTACTACTATACTACTACACTACTACTACTACACTTCTACTACTACACTACTGCTAAACTACTACTACTACTACTACTACTACTACTACTACACTACTACTACACTACCACACACACACAAACACTCTTTCTCTCTCTCGCTGTCTCTCTCTCTCCCTCCATCTCCCTCCATCTCTCTCCCTCTCTCTTTCTCCCTCTCTTTCTCTCTTAGCATGTTACCCACACAAGCACATGCTCACAGTCACACACACACGCACACACACGCACACACACACACACACACACGCACACGCACACGCACACACACGCACACACACGCACACATACGCACACACATGCTCACAGTCACACACACACTCACGTACACACACGCACACACACGCACACACACGCACACACACGCACACACATGCTCACAGTCACACACACACACGCACACACACGCACGCAAACGGTATACACATGAATACACAGAAGAACAATGTACAGTACCTGAGATTTGTTAAGAGTTCCAATAGAAATATTGGCACATCCCTTCTACTGTATAGGAACTGGGTTAAAGGGATACAAAACTCTAGTTAAGAAAATAAATTAATATAATAACAATAATACAATATAATGTCATATGCTATCAGTAGGCCCTGGTTTCAACCAAGACAGACAAAGACAGAGAGAGAACAAGAGAGAGACATTCTGAAATTCTATATACAGTGCCTTCGGGAAAGTATTCAGACCCTTTTAGTTTTTCCACATTTTGTTACTTTACAGCCTTATTCTAAAATGGATTTAAAAAAATTAAATATTTACATTTTTAGTCATTTAGCAGACGCTCTTATCCAGAGCGACTTACAGTTAGTGCATACATTATTATTTTTCATACCCCCTGTGGGAATCGAACCCACAACCCTGGCGTTGCAAACGCCATGCTCTACCAACTGAGCTACATCCCTGCCGGCCATTCCCTCCCCTACCCTGGACGACGCTGGGCCAATTGCGCGCCGCCCCATGGGTCTCCCGGTCGCGGCCGGCTACGACAGAGCCTGGATTCGAACCAGGATCTCTAGTGGCACAGATAGCACTGCGATGCAGTGCCTTAGACCACTGCGCCACTCGGGAGGCACATATTCAGCAATCTACACACAATAAAAAACATAAATACTTTATTTACGTAAGTATTTAGACCCTTTGCATCCTTAAGATGTTTCTACAACTCTCTCTCTCCCCCTCCCTCCCTCCCTCCCACCCAATGGATATGGGAGTTTATAAAAATTCGATGTGTTGTCGATTTCTTTGTTGGTCTGTGTAATCTGAGGGAAATATGTGTCTCTAATATGGTCATACATTTGGCAGAAGGTTAGGAAGTGCAACTCAGTTTCCACCTCATTTTGTGGGCAGTGTACACATAGCCTGTCTTCTCTTGAGAGCCAGGTCTGCCTACGGCGGCCTTTCTCAATAGCAAGGCTATGCTCACTGAGTCTGTACATACTCTCTCTCGCTCTCTCTCCATCTCACTCTATCTGTCTCTATCTGTCTCTGTCTGTCTCTCTCTCTCTCACCTCTGATGAGTGGGTCTGGTCAGAGCTCTGGGACTCTGTGGAACTTGTGGCCTGGGTCTGAGGATGACAGATCAACACAACACAGGTAAATACATTCACACCCTAAACTAAACTGAATAACTCTACAGGAGTTCCAGTGGTGTGTGTGTACCTGGTTCCCTGGCAGCTGTGGCAGTACAGGGACCTGTTGACGTGAGGAGGAAGAACACAGTCTGTTAGTTTACCTGGTACTCTAGTTCAGTGGTACCCAAACGATGTGGCGCCCCCTAGGGGAGGGCAGGGGGGGAGCGGCTTTCCACTTAGTCTTGAAAGTTGTAATAGTAGAATGCACAAGTTGCAATTGCTAAATTTGGATAGTGCATCACCAGTTTGTCTCTTGTGATGTCAGTCATTGCATACCTTAGAGAGCTAATTATAACTTATCAGAAATGTCCAGATCAACTACCCCATGTTTTTTAGCTAGGTTTTTTAACCCATAGATTTTGTTGTAATGGTTGAGTCACTCAAATATCACACGAATACACATTATACCTGTCAAAATGTATAGAAATGCAAGACAATGAGCTTTAAACCTGCTGGGTGAATTTAGTCACCTGGTTTACCATTTCATCTAGTTCAACTAGTCAGCTGGTCTACCTGGTCATCTAGTTCAACTAGTCACCTGGTCTACCTGGTCATCTGTTTCAACTAGTCACCTGGTCTACCTGGTCATCTAGTTCAACTAGTTACCTGGTCTACCTGGTCATATATTTAAACTAGTTACCTGGTCTAACTGGTCATCTGTTTCAACTAGTCACCTGGTCTACCTGGTCATCTAGTTAAACTAGTTACCTGGTCTACCTGGTAATCTGGTTCAACTAGTCACCTGGTCTACCTGGTCATCTAGTTAAACTAGTTACCTGGTCTAACTGGTCATCTGGTTCAACTAGTCACCTGGTCTACCTGGTCATCTAGTTCAACTAGTCACCTGGTCATATAGTTAAACTAGTCACCTGGTAATCTAGTTCAACTAGTCACCTGGTCTACCTGGTCATCTGGTTCAACTAGTCACCTGGTTTACCTGGTCATCTAGTTCAACTAGTCACCTGGTCTACCTGGTCATATAGTTCAATTAGTCACCTGGTCATCTAGTTCAACTAGTCACCTGGTCATCTGGTTCAACTAGTCACCTGGTCATATAGGTATTCTGTTCAGGGCCAGATAGCATTACAGTTTGCTCTGTTTTTTAGTTGATACTTTCAAGTGTGTCAAAAATCTGATTTAAAAACCATAAAACTTATGGAACAGCTGGACTGTGGGTAGACACACATACAGACACACACACACACACGCATGCACGCACTCACGCACACACACACACACACACACACACACACACACACACACACACACACACACACACACACACACACACACACACACACACACACACACACACACACACACACACATACAGGCACACACACACACACACACACACACACGCATACGCACACATGCTAACACGCACTCTACACAAATGTACACTATATATACAAAAGTATGTGGACACCCCTTCAAATTAGTGGATTTGGCTATTTCAGCCACACCCGTTGCTGAGAGGTGTATAAAATTTAGCACACAGCCATGCAATCTCCATAGACAAACAGTGGCAGTAGAATGGCCCGTACTGAAGAGCTCAGTGACTTTCAACGTGGCACCATCATAGGATGCCACCTTTCCAACAAGTCAGTTCATCAAATGTCTGCCCTGCTAGAGCTGCCCCGGTCAACTGTAAGTGCTGTTATTGTGAAGTGGAAACATCTAGGAGCAACAACGGCTCAGCTGCGAAGTGGTAGGCCACACAAGCTCACAGAACGGGACCGCCGAGTGTGGCTGGTGGTACTGTGGTCTAGATGTAGGTCCTCTCGGCATGTTTCCTCTCGGCGTGGGTCCTCTCGGCGTGGGTCCTCTCGGCGTGGGTCCTCTCGGCGTGGGTCCTCTAGGTGCAGGTCCGGGAGAGGGTCTCGCTGGTCTTGGTGAGGTGTCCTTTGTTCTGTTGTGAGGTGCTGGGGCTGCGGTTGAGGGCCATTTCTTTCAGGGTCCTTGCAAAAGTAGGGACTGCTGACTTGTAGAGGTGGACCTGGTCATAAAGGCTGTGCAAGTCCAGGGTGGAGTGGTGGGCCAGGTAAATGTTAGGTTTTGAGGCACAGTCACGGGAAATGCTTGCGTTTACTTGCTGTATGGTAGCAGGGTGGAAGTATTCTCGTGGTAGCAGGGTGGAGATAACCACTTGTGCGTTGGGGAAAGTGGAAGAAGCTTTTTCAATCACTCCCCTGTCTGGATGCCAGGCGACGAAGCTAGGCGGGAGATCTCTCTATTATCCGCACCTGAATCTCATCAGCTATCTGCACACCTGGTCCTGATCATCACCTCTCCACTTCATAGCTCTGACCTGACATCCATTCCCTGCCGGATCGTTAGCCATGAACAGTATGTTGTGTCAGCGTATCAGCCTCAAGTTTACTAGAGTTAGTTTTGTTGTTTTGTACTTTTTGCTTGCCGTGTACTCACCTCCGTTTACTCTGTCTACAGTCATTCACCCGGAACATTCACCCCACCCCTTGCCTGGTCGTCGGTGGCTTCTGTGACACCATCAGATCTGCCTATTCACTCCCACCGACTCACCTCCGCTGCCCGCTCCGTCTCCTGGATTATTCTGCTCCCACATTTGAGTCTGTAAATAAATACTCACCTTCGTTCTACTCACCTTGTCCTGGTCTGCTTCTGGATTCTGCTTTAGAGAATCGTGACAGAACGATCCGGCCAAGAATGAACCCAGCGGACCTGGACTCCGTTCGCCATGCCATTACCCATCAGGAGAAGATGTTGGGACAACACAGCTTTTTCGGTTCTGAACTTTTCTGCTAGTCTGACGAGTATCCAGGCTCAGCTCAGTTTGCCAGCAGATCATCCACCACCTGCTTCACCCCTCTCACCTGCCGCTTCTGGATCTGTTTCCTTCCGTGAGCCCAAGGTTCCGACGCCAGATAAGTACGAAGGGGATTTGGGAAGATGCCGTTAATTTCTTATGCAGTGTGGACTAGTGTTAGATCTGCAGCCCCACTCTTACGCCACAGACAAGGCTAGGATAGCCTTTGTTATTGAATTGCTGCGTGGAAGAGCTCTGGAGTGGGCTTCAGCCGTATGGGAACGACAGGACACCTGCATGGCGTCATACCAGGAGTTCACTGCAGAGATGAGGAAGCTTTTTGATCATCCAGTCCGAGGTAAGGACGCAGCTAAGCGTTTGTTCTCTCTTCGTCAAGGAGCTCGCAGTGTGGCAGACTTTGTTATCGAGTTCAGGACCTTGGCTGTGGAGAGTGGGTGGAATGAGGAGTCACTACAAGCGTTTTTTTATCAGGGGTTGTCGGAGCAACTCAAGGATGAGCTGATCTCCTATCCGGAGCCTAGTGACCTGGACAGTTTGGTAGCGTTATCTATTCGGGTCGATAACAGAGTCCGAGAGAGAAGGAGGGAGAAGCAATGGGGCCCGTCCAATCAATCAGCTACTCGGTTACCATTGGGTTCAGGAAGTGGACCAGAACGAGTCGATCATTGTTCACCACACGGGATTAGTGGAGAGGTCCTGCCTCCAGATCCTGAAACCATGCAAGTGGGGCGGCACGGGTTAACCAAGGAGGAGCACCAACGTAGACGTGAGACCAACAGCTGCCTCTACTGTGGTAGCTCGGGACAGATAAAGCCTCCTGCAGAACCATGTCCAGATAAAGCCTCCTGTAGAACCATGTCCAGATAAAGGGTCCTGTAGAACCATGTCCAGATAAAGCCTCCTGCAGAACCATGTCCAGATAAAGCCTCCTGTATAACCATGTCCAGATAAAGCCTCCTGTAGAACCATGTCCAGATAAAGGGTCCTGTAGAACCATGTCCAGATAAAGGGTCCTGTAGAACCATGTCCAGATAAAGGGTCCTGTAGAACCATGTCCAGATAAAGGGTCCTGTAGAACCATGTCCAGATAAAGCCTCCTGCAGAACCATGTCCAGATAAAGCCTCCTGCAGAACCATGTCCAGATAAAGGGTCCTGCAGAACCATGTCCAGATAAAGCCTCCTGCAGAACCATGTCCAGATAAAGCCTCCTGCAGAACCATGTCCAGATAAAGCCTCCTGTAGAACCATGTCCAGATAAAGGGTCCTGCAGAACCATGTCCAGATAAAGGGTCCTGTAGAACCATGTCCAGATAAAGCCTCCTGTAGAACCATGTCCAGATAAAGGGTCCTGTAGAACCATGTCCAGATAAAGGGTCCTGTAGAACCATGTCCAGATAAAGAGTCCTGTAGAACCATGTCCAGATAAAGGGTCCTGTAGAACCATGTCCAGATAAAGGGTCCTGTAGAACCATGTCCAGATAAAGGGTCCTGTAGAACCATGTCCAGATAAAGGGTCCTGTAGAACCATGTCCAGATAAAGGGTCCTGTAGAACCATGTCCAGATAAAGGGTCCTGTAGAACCATGTCCAGATAAAGGGTCCTGTAGAACCATGTCCAGATAAAGGGTCCGGGGTGAAAAAGTTGAATGAAAAAAGTAAAGTGAGGAAAAAACTAAGACGTTGGTAAATGTATTAAAAGTATTACAAATTTTAAAATGAAAAGTTTGGCATATAGCCAAGTAGCAACAAACAGCACAACAGCACTGAGACAAGTCCGGAAGTTGAGGGCGGAGCATATAGAGAGAGGGTGCTGATAATCAACAACCTGGTGGCATCTTCCCTGAGGCATAAAGTGTCTGTCCTCAACCCCCCCGCCGGGCTGCTCGCAGACCTGCAACGCCAGCTGGTGGATTCTCTCTGGTCGGGCCATCACTGGCTGAGGGCGGCAGTGTTGAATATGTCCGTCCACGAAGGAGGACAGGGCCTGGTGGAACTGGAGAGCAGGGTGGCTGCATTCCGACTAAAGGCGGCTCAGAGACTGCTGTACCATACTGATGTCGGCTGGAGGGAGCCAGCATGCGCGCTGCTGAGGAGAGCTGGCGGATTAGGGTTGGACCGGCAACTATTCCTCATGAGGCTGGAGGGGCTGAGTACAGCAAGACTCTCTGATTTTTACTCTGCGGTGCTGAGGGCCTGGCAGCTGCTAAGGCCCACACGAGAAGGGGGTGCGGAGCCTGGGCTGTGGGTGTGAGAGGAGCCTAACAGACCCTTTACTATTGTTTAATGGGATGGTTTCAGGAGATATGGTGTGTCGGGGAGTCTGTCTGTACAGCTGGGGAAGATGGGTTGGATACACTGTTGTAGAAGTGGTGATGTTTTGTATCGTGGGGTAGAGAGCAAGGTGAGTATGCAGTACAGGGGATATATATATTTTTTTTTTAAGGGGGGGGGGGTGGTGGTGAGGTTTTAATGAAATTAGGATGTATCATTAAAGAAAGACAAAAAGTATCTCTCTCTCTCTCGCTCTCGCTCTCTCTCTCTCTCTCTCTCTCTCTCTCTCTCTCTCTCTCTCTCTCTCTCTCTCTCTCTCTCTCTCTCTCTCTCTCTCTCTCTCTCGCTCTCTCGCTCTCTCTCCTTTCTTCCTGTTGGACGTCATGGCGTCAGCTAATCAGGATCCTAATAAAATTCAAAACTTGACCTAGTGTTGCATAGTAGTCATGGTCACCAGTCTCTCTCTCTCAGTCTGGACAGAGTCCAGGAACCCATCTCTGCAACACACAACACACACGCACACATTTTATGGTTAATTTTGCCTAATCAGAGAAGTGCCCCATCCCAGACAGGCTTTATGACTAGAGGTTGTAAACTAGACTATAAAGGGGCCATCTAGGATTTGTACATACTTTTTTTGTACTTTAAAATTACACTCTTAGAAAAAAAGGGTTATTCAGCTGTCCCCATAGGAGAACCCTTTTGGTTCCAGGTAGAACCCTTTTGGTTCCAGGTAGAACCCTTTTGGTTCCAGGTAGAACCCTTTTGGTCCCAGGTAGAACCCTTTTGGTTCCAGGTAGAACCCTTTTGGTTCCAGGTAGAACCCTTTTGGTCCCAGGTATAACCCTTTTGGTTCCAGGTAGAACCCTTTTGGTCCCAGGTAGAACCTGGAACAAAAAAGGGTTCTCCTATGAGGACAGCAGCAGAACCCTTTTGGAGTGTAAGGATATAGAGGAATTGATTCTTAAAGAATATAACGTATGTCTCATGAGCTTAGTTCAACTGTCTTACTCCATCAAAACCCCAAATATAAGCTTGTTTTACTTGGCCCCATCCCTCAATTGTTTACCAAAAAAGTGGCGGGTGTCACTTTGTTGTTTGAATCCTAAATTGCCCCTTTAAGGTCCAATGTGAAAAGACAATTATGCATTACAGACTCACATTCTGTTTCATTTCACCGGGGTTAGGGTTAATAGAGTTGACAGTTAGGGTCAATAGAGTTGACAGTTAGGGTTAGGGTTAATAGAGTTGACAGTTAGGGTTAATAGCATTGACAGTTAGGATTAGGGTTAATAGAGTTGGCAGTTAGGGTTAGGGTTAATAGAGTTGACAGTTAGTATTAGGGTAAATAGAGTTGACAGTTAGGGTTAATAGAGTTGACAGTTAGGGTTAGGGTTAATAGAGTTGACAGTTAGGGTTAATAGCATTGACAGTTAGGATTAGGGTTAATAGAGTTGGCAGTTAGGGTTAGGGTTAATAGAGTTGACAGTTAGTATTAGGGTAAATAGAGTTGACAGTTAGGGTTAATAGAGTTGACAGTTAGGGTTAGGGTTAATAGAGTTGACAGTTAGGGTTAATAGCATTGACAGTTAGGATTAGGGTTAATAGAGTTGGCAGTTAGGGTTAGGGTTAATAGAGTTGACAGTTAGTATTAGGGTAAATAGAGTTGACAGTTAGGGTTAATAGAGTTGACAGTTAGGGTTAGGGTTAATAGAGTTGACAGTTAGGGTTAGGGTTAATAGAGTTGACAGTTAGGGTTAATAGCATTGACAGTTAGGGTTAGGGTTAAAAGAGTTGACAGTTAGGGTTAGGGTTAATAGAGTTGACAGTTAGGGTTAGGGTTAATAGAGTTGACAGTTAGGGTTAATAGAGTTGACAGTTAGGGTTAGGGTTAATAGCGTTGACAGTTAGGGTTAGGGTTAATACAGTTGACAGTTAGGGTTAGGGTTAATAGAGTTGACAGTTAGGTTTAGGGTTAATAGAGTTGACAGATAGGGTTAATAGAGTTGACAGTTAGGGTTAGGGTAAATAGATTTGACAGTTAGGGTTAATAGCATTGACAGTTAGGATTAGGGTTAATAGAGTTGGCAGTTAGGGTTAGGGTTAATAGAGTTGACAGTTAGGGTTAATATAGTTGACAGTTAGGGTTAGGGTTAATAGAGTTGACAGTTAGGGTTAATAGCATTGACAGTTATGGTTAGGGTTAATAGCATTGACAGTTAGTGTTAGGGTTAATAGAGTTGACAGTTAGGGTTAGGGTTAATAGAGTTGACAGTTAGGGTTAGGGTTAATAGAGTTAACAGTTAGGGTTAATAGCATTGACAGTTAGGATTAGGGTTAATAGAGTTGACAGTTAGGGTTAGGGTTAATAGAGTTGACAGTTAGGGTTAATATAGTTGACAGTTAGGGTTAGGGTTAATATAATTGACAGTTAGGGTTAATAGAGTTGACAGTTAGGGTTAATAGAGTTGACAGTTAGGGTTAGGGTTAATATAGTTGGCAGTTAGGGTTAGGGTTAATAGAGTTGACAGTTAGGGTTAGGGTTAATATAGTTGGCAGTTAGGGTTAGGGTTAATAGAGTTGACAGTTAGGGTTAATATAGTTGACAGTTAGGGTTAGGGTTAATATAGTTGACAGTTAGGGTTAGGGTTAATATAGTTGACAGTTAGGGTTAGGGTTAATAGCATTGACAGTTAGGGTTAGGGTTAATAGCATTGACAGTTAGGGTTAGGGTTAATAGAGTTGACAGTTAGGGTTAGGGTTAATAGCGTTGACAGTTAGGGTTAGGGTTAATAGAGTTGACAGTTAGGGTTAGGGTTAATAGAGTTGACAGTTAGGGTTAATAGAGTTGACAGTTAGGGTTAGGGTTAATAGAGTTGACAGTTAGGGTTAGGGTTAATAGCGTTGACAGTTAGGGTTAGGGTTAATAGAGTTGACAGTTAGGGTTAGGGTTAATAGCGTTGACAGTTAGGGTTAGGGTTAATAGAGTTGACAGTTAGGGTTAGGGTAAATAGAGTTGACAGTTAGGGTTAATAGCATTGACAGTTAGGATTAGGGTTAATAGAGTTGGCAGTTAGGGTTAGGGTTAATAGAGTTGACAGTTAGGGTTAATATAGTTGACAGTTAGGGTTAGGGTTAATAGAGTTGACAGTTAGGGTTAATAGCATTGACAGTTATGGTTAGGGTTAATAGCATTGACAGTTAGTGTTAGGGTTAATAGAGTTGACAGTTAGGGTTAGGGTTAATAGAGTTGACAGTTAGGGTTAGGGTTAATAGAGTTAACAGTTAGGGTTAATAGCATTGACAGTTAGGATTAGGGTTAATAGAGTTGACAGTTAGGGTTAGGGTTAATAGAGTTGACAGTTAGGGTTAATAGAGTTGACAGTTAGGGTTAGGGTTAATATAATTGACAGTTAGGGTTAATAGAGTTGACAGTTAGGGTTAATAGAGTTGACAGTTAGGGTTAGGGTTAATATAGTTGACAGTTAGGGTTAGGGTTAATAGCATTGACAGTTAGGGTTAGGGTTAATAGAGTTGGCAGTTAGGGTTAGGGTTAATAGAGTTGACAGTTAGGGTTAGGGTTAATATAGTTGACAGATATGGTTAGGGTTAATAGAGTTGACAGTTATGGTTAGGGTTAATAGAGTTGACAGTTAGGGTTAGGGTTAGAATAGTTGACAGTTATGATTAGGGTTAATAGAGTTGACAGTTAGGGTTAGGGTTAATAGAGTTGACAGTTAGGGTTAGGGTTAATAGAGTTGACAGTTAGGGTTAGGGTTAATAGAGTTGACAGTTAGGGTTAGGGTTAATATAGTTGACAGTTAGGGTTAGGGTTAATATAGTTGACAGTTAGGGTTAGGGTTAATAGAGTTGACCGTTAGGGTTAGGGTTAATAGAGTTGACAGTTAGGGTTAGGGTTAATAGAGTTGACAGTTAGGGTTAGGGTTAATAGAGTTGACAGTTAGGGTTAGAGTTAATATAGTTGACAGTTAGGGTTAGGGTTAATATAGTTGACAGTTATGGTTAGGGTTAATAGACTTGACAGTTATGATTATGGTTAATAGAGTTGACAGTTAGGGTTAGAGTTAATAGAGTTGACAGTTAGGGTTAGGGTTAATATAGTTGACAATTATGATTAGGGTTAATAGAGTTGACAGTTAGGGTTAGGGTTAATAGAGTTGACAGTTAGGGTTAGGGTTAATATAGTTGACAGTTAGGGTTAGGTGTCACACCCTGGCTCTGGGACTCATTATGTTGAGCCAGGGTGTGTTCATTCTATGTGTTCTGTTTCTATGTTGGGTGTTCCGTGTTCGGTCATTGACACCGTGGACGTCACGAGTCGTGTTTTGTTTTGTATTTTGACGCTTTAACTAATTAAAGTCATGTTTGTTCATCACGCTGCGCCTTGGTCTACTCCTTACCTCGATCGTGACAGAAAAACCCACCATACCAAGACCAAGCAGCGTGTCCAGGAGCAGGCAGACTGGACATGGGAGGAAGCGCCGGGAAAGGAGATGGAGAGGCTGGCGATGGCCCAGGTGGGCAAATCGTGGTCCTGGGAGGACATGCTCGGGGGCAAAGGGCCATGGGCAAGGATTAAGGCCCTGGCGAGAGAGGAGCAGCGGCGTCAGCAGTATCATCGTCGGACGGTCGAGAGGCAACCCCAAGACATTTTTAGGGGGGGGCACACGGCATGGACGACGGGGCTGACGGAGGAGAAAAGGGGGCGGATCCAGGAGGCCACCAGGCCAGGGGTACACCGCCCTGTACGTCCTGTGCGGATGCCTCACACAGAGTGTGTGAGGGTAGGCATTCAGCCAGGACGGGTGGTGGCCGCTCTTCACTCCAGGTCTCCTATCCGTCTCCACAGCCCGGTTCGGCCTGTCCCTGCTCTACGCACCAAGCCTACGGTGTGCGTCGACAGCCCAGCCCGGCCTGTCCCTGCTCCACGCACCAAGCCTACGGTGTGCGTCGACAGCCCAGCCCGGCCTGTCCCTGCTCCACGCACTAAACCTACGGTGCGCGTCGCCAGCCCGGTCCGGCCTGTTCCTGCCACCCGCACCAAGTCTACGGTGCGCGTCGCCAGCCCGACCCGGCCTGTTCCTGCCACTCGCACTAAGCCAGGGGTGCGAGAAGTCAGCCTGGTAAGGCCCGTTCCTCCTCCACGCACCAAGCCAGGGGTGCAAGTCGACAGACTGGACCAGGGGCACTATGGGGGGTGTATTGGAGGGTGGTGGTCAAGGCCGGAGCCAGAACCGCCGCCGAGGAGGTATGCCCGCCCAGCCCTCCCCTGTTTTGTTTAGTTGAGGCGCGGTCGCAGTCCGCGCCTTTAGGGGGGGGTACTGTCACACCCTGGCTCTGGGACTCATTATGTTGAGCCAGGGTGTGTTCATTCTATGTGTTCTGTTTCTATGTTGGGTGTTCCGTGTTCGGTCATTGACACCGTGGACGTCACGAGTCGTGTTTTGTTTTGTATTTTGACGCTTTAACTAATTAAAGTCATGTTTGTTCATCACGCTGCGCCTTGGTCTACTCCTTACCTCGACCTTGACATTAGGGTTAATAGAGTTGACAGTTAGGGTTAGGGTTAGTAGGTTAGGGTTAGTAGGTTAGGGTTAGTAGGTTAGGGTTAGGGTTAGTAGGTTAGGGTTAGTAGGTTAGGGTTAGTAGGTTAGGGTTAGGGTTAGGGTTAGTAGGTTAGGGTTAGTAGGTTAGGGTTAGGGTTAGGGTTAGTAGGTTAGGGTTAGTAGGTTAGGGTTAGTAGGTTAGGGTTAGGGTTAGTAGGTTAGGGTTAGGGTTAGATAGAATGGTGGTCAACAGAGAATGCGTTAGGGTTAGGGTTAGATAGAATGGTGGTCAACAGAGAACAGACAGACACGAGCACGCCAACGCCCACTCCCATGCCCATGCACATGCACACACCACACACACACACACACACACACACACACACACACACACACAACACACACACACACACACACCACACACACACACACACACAAACACACACACACACACACACAACACATACACACATAACGTACCAGAAACATAACAGTCATGTTGATAGTAGTCTATATGTGTAAGAGACAGGAGAGTTCTGGAGCACAACAGAATGAATAGAACTAGGGTTAGGGTTATAACTAGATAACTCATGGTTACAGGTACAGACTGAATGACTGAATGAATAGAACTAGGTAACTCATGGTTACAGGTACAGACTGAATGACTGAATGAATAGAACTAGGTAACTCATGGTTACAGGTACAGACTGAATGACTGAATGAATAGAACTAGGTAACTCATGGTTACAGGTACAGACTGAATGACTGAATGAATAGAACTAGGTAACTCATGGTTACAGATACAGACTGAATGACTGAATGAATACAACTAGGTAACTCATGGTTACAGGTACAGACTGAATGACTGAATGAATAGAACTAGGTAACTCATGGTTACAGGTACAGACTGAATGACTGAATGAATAGAACTAGGTCATGGAACACTTACAGTGGGGGAAAAAAGTATTTAGTCAGCCACCAATTGTGCAAGGCCTGTAATTTTCATCATAGGTACACGTCAACTATGACAGACAAAATTAGGAAAAAAAATCCAGAAAATCACATTGTAGGATTTTTAATGAATTTATTTGCAAATTATGGTGGAAAATAAGTATTTGGTCAATAACAAAAGTTTCTCAATACTTTGTTATATACCCTTTGTTGGCAATGACACAGGTCAAACGTTTTCTGTAAGTCTTCACAAGGTTTTCACACACTGTTGCTGGTATTTTGGCCCATTCCTCCATGCAGATCTCCTCTAGAGCAGTGATGTTTTGGGGCTGTCGCTGGGCAACACAGACTTTCAACTCCCTCCAAAGATTTTCTATGGGGTTGAGATCTGGAGACTGGCTAGGCCACTCCAGGACCTTGAAATGCTTCTTACGAAGCCACTCCTTCGTTGCCCGGGCGATGTGTTAGGGATCATTGTCATGCTGACAGACCCAGCCACGTTTCATCTTCAATGCCCATGCTGATGGAAGGAGGTTTTCACTCAAAATCTCACGATACATGGCCCCATTCATTCTTTCCTTTACACGGATCAGTCGTCCTGGTCCCTTTGCAGAAAAACAGCCCCAAAGCATGATGTTTCCACCCCCATGCTTCACAGTAGGTATGGTGTTCTTTGGATGCAACTCAGCATTCTTTGTCCTCCAAACACGACGAGTTGAGTTTTTACCAAAAAGTTATATTTTGGTTTCATCTGACCATATGACATTCTCCCAATCCTCTTCTGGATCATCCAAATGCACTCTAGCAAACTTCAGATGGGCCTGGACATGTACTGGCTTAAGCAGGGGGACACGTCTGGCACTGCAGGATTTGAGTCCCTGGCGGCGTAGTGTGTTACTGATGGTAGGCTTTGTTACTTTGGTCCCAGCTCTCTGCAGGTCATTCACCCCGTGTGGTTCTGGGATTTTTGCTCACCGTTCTTGTGATCATTTTGACCCCACGTGGTGAGATCTTGCGTGGAGCCCCAGATTGAGGGAGATTATCAGTGGTCTTGTATGTCTTCCATTTCCTAATAATTGCTCCCACAGTTGATTTCTTCAAACCAAGCTGCTTACCTATTGCAGATTCAGTCTTCCCAGCCTGGTGCAGGTCTACAATTTTGTTTCTGGTGTCCTTTGACAGCTCTTTGGTCTTGGCCATAGTGGAGCCTCTCTCATCGTTTTAAGTGGGAGAACTTGCACAATTGGTGGCTGACTAAATACTTTTTTCCCCACTGTATAGATAGGCTGGAAAAGTGGGTAGGACTCTCTGGGACAGTCCTTGATTGGTTCAGATCTTATCTAGATGGAGCATTAATACCACATACTGTACACAACTGGAATAAACTACCAGAAGATCTTAGATGTGCCCCAAACGTATCCATTTTTAAATCCAGGTTACAAACACTTATCTTTTTACGTTCCTACGACTGAGCACTTAAACTGAACCACACTGATTAGCCTTATAGCTTCCTATGGTTTTATCCCATTTTTAATTTTTAATTTTTAATCTTTAAAGTATTATTTTTTTGTATTTGTATTATTATGATGTTTTCATTATTTTTGATAAAAATCTTTGTAAAGCACATTGAATTGCTTCGATGTATGAATTGTGCTATATAAATAAACTTGCTTGCTAGGTAACTCATGGTTACAGGTACAGACTGAATGACTGAATGACACCTTCAGTTTCCATCAGGGAGGGAGGACAGGGGAAGAGATGAGTAGGGGAGGGAGGACAGGGGGAGGGAGGACAGGGGGAGGGAGGAGAGGGGGAGGGAGGACAGGGGGAGGGAGGAGAGGGGGAGGGAGGAGAGGGGGAGGGAGGGAAGGGGGAGGAAGGATGGGGGAGGAGGAGAGCTTTGAGGAGACAGCAAGTGGTGACGGTTGGAGCCGGCGGGTTGGGGCGGGGTTTATTTTCCCGCATTGGTACGGCCCCAGGGGGACCAAGGGGGAGAGAGGACAGGGGGAGGAGGATAGTGTTGTGTTGTGTAAGCAGACATTTTTATTCAGCTCAATCAATGATTTGCTACGCAGAGGTAATATAAATATTCAGTCTAGTTTGTCTTGTTCATCATGAAACACCTACACACACACACACACACACACTCACACACACACACACACACACACCCTACTCATGTGTTGTAGTGACTAGTTCTGCATTAGTATGAGGAAGGGGCAACGCTGTGGACTGATGTTTGTTCTGTTGCATAACAGCATTAATACCATGGTAACCACTATCAATTCAGAATAAATCAACTTCTAATATATTTGACTTGATTTGATTTGAAATATATTTTATTATGTTACATCCCTGTCCCAGTTTGGTATCTATGAGTCAGGTAGTGAATCAGGTAGTGAATCAAGGTAGTGAGTCAGGTAGTGAGTCAAGGTAGTGAATCAGGTAGTGAGTCAAGGTAGCGAATCAAGGTAGTGAGTCAAGGTAGTGAGTCAAGGTAGTGAGTCAGGTAGTGAGTCAAGGTAGCGAATCAAGGTAGTGAGTCAAGGTAGTGAGTCAGGTAGTGAGTCAAAGTAGTGAGTCAAGGTAGTGAGTCAAGGTAGTGAATCAAGGTAGAGAATCAAGTTAGTGAATCAAGGTAGAGAATCAAGTTAGTGAATCAAGGTAGTGAATCAAGGTAGTGAGTCAAGGTCGTGAATCAAGGTAGAGAATCAAGGTAGTGAATCAGGTAGTGAATAAGGTAGTGAGTCAAGGTAGTGAATCAGGTAGTGAATAAGGTAGTGAGTGAATCAAGGTAAGGAATCAATGTAGTTAATCAAGGTAGTGAATCAAGGTAGGGAATCAAGTTTTTTCTCTCCACTGTATTGTATTGGAGTGAATGGAGTGGGCGGATTCAGAAACCAACAGCAGGCTGTATAACACATTCATCAATCTGGTTCCTGGTACATGCTGAATCAACCCTGTCTGTCCAGGTCTGGTTCCTGGTACATGCTGAATCAACCCTGTCTGTCCAGTTCTGGTTCCTGGTACATGCTGAATCATCCTGAAACAGATGACACCTTCCTGACACGTGTGTGTGTGTCAACTCTCTGACAAGCCAAATAAGCCTTAAACAACACCAATGTTCAGCTGTTACTTCCTCACAGTAATACACAGCCACCCGGTCTGGAGGTCCCTGGAGGTCCCTGGAGGTCCCTGGAGCAGGACTGGGGTGTTCAACTAATGAAACGCTGTGCCTGCAGGAGCCAACTGTGGACCTGATGAAGGAGAGATCACAGACAAGGACCAGGCCATGGAGACTGAAGACTCCTGGGTAGTGAGAGGTGTGTGTCTGTGTGCGTGCGTGCTTGTGTGTGTTCATGTGTGTGCGTGTGTGTGTGTGTGTGTGCCCTTTGCTTTTCACCTGTCACCTGTGCTACCTGCCATCAAACCTGAGCATCATCAAGTGGTAAAGTTTGTGTGTGTGTGTGTGTGTGGTGTGTGTGTGTTGTGTGTGTGTGTGTGTGTGTGTGAAAATATGTATATATTTTTGTTTGACTTTGTGGAACTCTTAGTCTCCACGACAACAAGAATAAGGGAATTGTCATTGAGCAACACTGTCTGCATGAGTCCAGTAGCTTTACATAGTTTATTATCATCCAAAGGTTTCAGATCAACATGGCAGGAAATGATCACATGACCAACAACATGGGACAACTATACATATGACAAACTGTATTACCAATAAACCATGGACCGTTTTTGGTAATATTTAGAGGGATTTTAGCTATCTCGATGACGCCGCTATATCGGAGTCGGACTTCGGTTTTTGCCTTGTATTGCGTTTTCTCTCTCCTCTTCCTTTCTCTTTCTTTCTCCGCTCTCTCTCTCTCTCTCTCTCTCTCGCTCTCTCTCTCTCTCTCTCTCTCTCGCTCCTCTCTCTCATCCCTTCTCCTCTCTCTCTCTTCTATAGAGAGCTCTCGACTTCGTCGTTAGTATATCGAACCCCCTCCTCCTCATGCCTCCTCCATCCCCCCATCCCCCCCATCTCGGCTTGAGAGGTGCCTGGGGGGGGGGCGATGTGTAGGGCGATGGGTGCGTAGGGGTAGGCGAGGGGCGCAGGGGTAGAAGCTTGGGTCTCTCTTACTGGGGGGCTCTTCTCCAAAGGACAGGGTTTACCTGCACCTTCAATCTGTATCTGTACCCCTCCCCCCTCCTCACCCACTATAACCCTCCGGGAATCCCCTCTTTCCTCCCCCGCTCCACCCCCCTCTTCCTCTTTCCCAGCCTGCCCTTGCCCCCCCCCCATCCAGTTTTGGGGGTCCCCATCGGGGCTAGAGTCGGGGGGTTCCCCAGGTGGGCGTGGCCGGGGTCAGAGGTCAGAGGTAAGGGGTCAGGGGTTACGGGTGAAGGGTCAGGGTTAGGGTCCACACTAAGTCCCTGGCTCTGGAACGCTGGAGGCAGCATCACCCTGGTGTAGGTCACCTGGAGGAAATACAACATCAACATGACCCTTGACCTTCCCATGGTAGATGACCTACAAAGGCAATAGACAACACACCTAAATGTTCTAAACCTTCTGCTGCTACCTTCAGCATCTCATCTCATCTCCACCTCTATTCTTATGGCCTCTAGTATTTGTCCTGAGTACTGAACCAATCAGACATCGAGGTGTGTTGGTTTTACTTCTTCTACCCTCCTTCCTCCTACGTCATCTAATTCCCTATCGCTGTACTCCCTCTGGTGTCTCTCCTGGGTATTACACCATCATCAGGCATTAACACTAGGCCTAATTGTATTTGTCACATGCGGCCGAATACAACAGGTGTAGACCTTACCGTGAAATGCTTACTTACAAGCCCTTAACCAACAATGCAGTTAAATAAATCGAGTTAAGAAAATATTTACTAAATAAACTAAACTAAAGTTAAAAAATCAAATCAAATCAAAAAGTAACACAAGAAAATTACATAATAATAACGAGGCTATATACAAGCAGGGGGTACCGGTAATGAGTCAATGTGCGGGGGTACAGGTTAGTCCAGGTAATATGTAAAGTGACTATGCATAGATAATAAACAGCGAGTAGCAGCAGTGTAAAAACAAAGGGGGGGGGGGGGGGGGTCGTCAATGTAAAGTAGTCCGGTGGCCATTTGATGAATGTTCAGCAGTTTTATGGCTTGGGGTAGAAGCTATAAGGAGCCTTTTGGTCCTAGACTTGGCATCTCCGGTACCCCGCTTGCCGTGCGGTAGCAGAGTAGAAGAACTCTTGACTGACTGGAGTCGTGGAACATGTTTTGGGCCTTCCTCTGACATGCCTAGTATAGAGGTCCTGGTATGGCAGGAAGCTTGGCCACAGTGATTTACTGGGCCGTACGCACTGTAGTGTTGAACGCTGAGCTGTAGTCAATGAACAGCATTCTCACATAGGTGTTCCTCTTGTCCAGGTTGGAAAGGACAGTGTGGAGTGCGATTGAGATTGCGTCATCTGTTCATATGTTGGGGCGGTATGCCAATTTGAGTGGGTCTAGGGTTTCCGGTATGATGGTGTTGATGTGAGCCATGACCAGCCTTTCAAAGCACTTCATGGCTACCGACATGAGTGCTACGAGGCGATAGTCATTTAGACAGGTTACCTTCGCTTCCTTGGGCACGGGGACTATGGTGGTCTGCCTGAACAATGTAGGTTTTACAGACTCGGTCAGGGAGAGGTTGAAAATGTCAGTGAAGACACTTGCCAGTTGGTCCGCACATGCTTTGAGTACACGTCCTGGTAATCCGTCTGGCCCCGTGGCCTTGTGAATGTTGACCTGTTTAAAGGTCTTGCTCACATCGGCTACGGAGAGTGTGATCACACAGTCGTCCGGAACAGCTGGTACTCTCATGCATGCTTCAGTGTTGCTTGCCTAGAAGTGAGCATAAAAGGCATTTAGCTCATCTGGTAGGCTCGCGTCACTGGGCAGCTCGTGGCTGGGTTTCCCTTTGTAGTCAGTAATATTGTTCAAGCCCTGCCACATCCGACGAGCGTCAGAACCAGTGTAGTAGGATTCAATCTTTGTCCTGCATTGATGCGTTGCCTGTTTGATGGTTCCGACTGAGGGCGTAGCGGGATTTCTTATAAGCGTCCAGATTAGTGTCCCGCTCCTTGAAAGCGGCAGCTCTAGCCTTTAGCTCAGTGCGGCTGTTGCCTGTAATCCATGGCTTCTGGTTGGGATATGTACGTACGGTCACTGTGGAGACGACGTTGTCGATGCACTTATTGATGAAGCCCGTTGGTAGGAGAGTCTTAATCGTAGATCGTCCAGTTTGTTTTCCTATGAATGCACGTTGTAAATATATAAATGAATAATATGATAATAGATCGTTTATTGGCTAGGGGAAGTGGTGGTTTACCTCCTCGTCTGTGAATTCTTACACCCCGCCCTCCTCCCCGTTTTCCTCCATCTTTTCTTCACGCTGATGACGGGGATTTGGGCCTGGTCTCGACAAAGCAGTATATCCTTCGCGTCGGACTCATTAAATAAAAAATCTTTGTCCAGTTCGAGGTGACTAATCGCTGTTCTGATATCCGAAGCTCTTTTCGGTCATAGGAGATGGTAGCAGCAACATTATGTACAAAATAAGTTACAAAACAATGCGAAAAAACGAACAAAATAGCCCAGTTGGTTAGGAGCCCGTAAAACGGCAGCCATTACTAACTACTGGTTACAGACCGTGAGGTGTTTGTTGTTGTACTCACAGGAAGTAAAGCTTCCTCTTCAGAACTCAGAGACGCCGACTGGAACAACAGTAGATATGGAGGAAGAGAATGAGTTACACTTAGATTCAAAACTTCACAACAAGTTAAAGTTAAATCGTTAAACATTAACCAGACAGACCTGAGACTGGGCTGCTCCTCCTACAACACCAGTTAACTGCCAGGTGGGGTACACTGTCTGACCATCCTGAGAGACTGAAGGAATAATATTGAAACATAGACAGTATCTGAGAGAGAGAGAGAGAGAGAGAAGGAGGTGGGTTTTCTTTCGTTCTATTTTTCTCGCGCTCCTCTCTCTCTGTCTCCTCTCTCTCTCGCTCGCTCTCTCTCTCTCTCTCTCTCTCTCTCTCTCTCTCTCTCTCTCTCTCTCTCTCTCTCTCTCTCTATCTCCATTCTTCTTTTCTTTCTCTTTTCTCTCCTCCTCTACCTCTCTTTCTCTTTCTCTTCTCCCCCCCCCCTTTTCCCCTCCAACCCAATTTATGTTTATATTTAAGTTTTCCCAATTTTGTACTTTAACTATTTCACATCTTTATTTTACAACCCACTGTATTAACATAATATGACATGATTTGAAATACTTTTCTTTTTGGAACTTCTGATTGTATGTTTACTGTTAATATTTATTGTTTATTCACTTTGTTGATTATCTTTTCACTTGCCTCTTCTTTGGCAATGTTACACATTAACGTTTCTCCCATTCCAAAAAGCCCTAAATTGAATTTGATTGAGAGAGAGAGAGAAAGGAAGAGACAGAGACAAAGAGAGAGAGAGACAGAGGAGCATAGTAGACAAGATCAGAGCTAGATATTAGAGATATCGAGCGAGATGAGCGTTAGATAGAGAGACAGAGAGAGATACGAGAGCGATATAGCGATATAGATAGAGATATATATAGATCATAGCTATGATAGAGAGAGAATGTTCTGTCTGTCTGTTGTAGGTCTTGCTGTCGTGTGTTTGTGTCCCACCCACACACACACCCACACACACACACACACACCCCACACACACACACACACACCAACACCACACTCCACACACCCACACACACACACCCACACCCACCCCCCACACACGACACACCACCCCAACATACACCCCACACACCCACACACCCACACATGCACACACACCCACACCCACACACACACTCAGCCCCCCCCACACACCATCACACACACAACACCACCCCACCCCCAGGGCCCACCCCAACTCACCACATTCCCACCCGCCCCCCACACCCCCCCCCCCCCCACACACACACACACCCCACACACACACACAACACGACACACACACACATTCACACCCACACACACACACACCACACACACACACACAACACACCCAACACACACAACACACAACACACCACCACACACACACACACACACACACACACCCACACACACACACACACCTAACACAAACCCCTTTACCTTTGCCTTTCCTCATTTTAATTTTTTCCGGTGGGAAATCTCTGTGTTGTTATTGTGTATAATGGCTTGGATCAGCTGGGTGGGTAGAATGGGTAGGGCTGGGGGTAGTCTGGCTGGAGCTGGGGGTAGAATGGGTAGGGCTGGGGGTAGTCTGGCTGGAGCTGTGACTGTGGATCGTTCACCACAGGATCCACTGGCATGTCAGTATCTTTAACCTGGGAATGGTAGAGCAGTATAAATCATGTTAAAGGGCAGTGCAGTTAAAAATAGGATTTTCCTGTTTTTATAATGATATTTCCACGCTATGAGATCGAAATAACTCTGAAATTGTGCAAACGATGATAACTAACGTCCTGTTTTGAAATAAATTCCTGGAATTTCAGCCTGTTCAGGTGGGATGGAGGTTTTGGCCCAGATCATGACATCACAGT